TATTTCCTTCCTTGAATGGCCTTCCAGTAGTTCTGATTTGAATATTATCGGAACTGTATGGAATAAAATAAAGCAGCAATTTAGAAATGATCCACAACGAAACATTTCTGATTTACGAGTAAAATTACAAAATATATGGTATTATGTTAAGGTGGAAGACCGCAAAACGCATTTCTGTTAAGTTCATCCGAATATACAGGGTGACTTTGAAGTTGAGTCATTAATTTTCAGATAATGATTGTAGAAGGAAGATAAACCAAAATATGTGTGTAAAAATAAAAAAAAATTTTTTAAAAATTGTTACCTTGTTTTATAAAGTATCCTCCCGACAAGTATTTCAGTGCGGACCTGTATTTGATCGTGCAGTCTTGGAGCACCGGCATGCCCTCCACTGTGAGGTCTTAAGTCACCTGATTCACGAGCCCTTTGTACTACATTAACAAAGGCACGAGGGGTTGGTTGCACTCGATTGGGAAACCGATCCGTATAAATCCGTGATGCCGCGGCAGCATTTTGTAAAGACTCCTCCCCCCCCCCCCGGAAATAAGAATCATGTCCACAAGTTCAGCATTTTCGTAAACATGTGCCATTTTTTATTTCGTTTGAGCCGCGCAATACACACCACTATTCACTCACGCGTTACCGACTGACACATTGACTGAATACAACTGAATAAAATTGTAGTAAAAACATCGTGATAAGCGTTTCAAATTCTTTCGCTTTTCTGTTTCCAATGCGATGAACCGATAAGGCGGATTATATCCGTTGTTGCCAAACACGAGCACATAATATTATTATTGAGACAGGGTGGTACTTAAATCTCTAAAGGGCTATAACTTTGTTACTTTAATTTTACCAGAAAAATGTTATAGGAAAAAAAACATTTCTTTTGATCAGATCTACTCACTGTTAAAATAAATGACTCAACATCGAAGTCACCCTGTATATGTGTCAGCCAAATGTTGCGTTGTGGTCAATATTGGTGGAATAACTATAATTATCATAAATGGGCAGAGGTAAATGATATATTTTCAAAGCCTGACTCTTCTTTTTACAACGTTTGCTGCTCGATTTATTTCTCTTCTTCTCAGTCTTTCAAAAACCTGTTGCTATACTCAACTTGAGGTCTGGTCTGGTATACCAAACAAATAAATTCTGATAATTTCAAGGCCTACCTCGGAAAAAAGGTTGATGCTGGACGACATCAAATTGGAATTCTAATTACGTCATCTCGTAGAAGAGAAAAAGTGGCACTGTTCATGTGCAATTTGTTTTGAAATCTCACTACAATAAAAGTCAGGAAAAAATTAAAACGATTTTGAGAAAATTCGTTTTTTCCGGAAGTACTTTGAATTTCGAAAGTTCCCAAGCGGCATTTTGATGGTTACCTAGATACGCAACTTTACCCCCCCCCCCACTCAAGCGACTTGTATCTTTTACAGTTTTCAAGATCCCAATTGTGAGGGTCAAATTTGAAACACTCTGTATAGTAGAGGAAGGAAAAAAATAATTAACCCAAAAGGAAAGTACGTGGTTTGTAGATATGAGTTGATACGCAATGATCAAGCCTTTGTAAAATATTGGACAGCAGAAAACGAGCATACATAATGTTGACAATATCGGCCATTTGGAATGTTCAGTCAGTTTTTAATAGCTATTGTGGGTGGACGTGTCTTAGCTTGTTTCCGATTTTTGTCCATTCCAAAAAATGGATCTAAGAATTTGTATTAAATTTTGTGCAAAAAACAACTTGAAGTGCGCGGACAAATTCCAAGTGTTGACTGTTGCATACTGCGAAGCTACTTTGGGCAAAAGCAACGTTTATCAGTGGTACAAAATGTTCTCAGAGGGCCGAGAAGATGAGAGCGACGAAAAGCGTTCCGGAGGCCGGAGAACGTCACCAACGAAAACATTGATGAGTTCCTGTCGCAGAGTAGAACGGTCAATGAGGAATATTACCTTCACGTAATGCGCAATTTGCGAGAAGCAATTCGGAAAGCCCGGATTTGTGGAAGAACAAAAATTGGCTTTTGCACCATGATAACGCCCCTGCTCATGCATCGTTACTTGTGCGCGAATTTTTGGCCAAAAACAACACTCCAATAATGCTTAACCCACCATATTCCCCAGACCTGGCCCCCTGTCACTTTTTCTTGTTCCCGAAACTGAAGAGGTCCATGAAAAGACGACGCTTTCAAAATGCTTCGAGGATTGGAAAAAACGTTATCAGAAGTGTATAATCTCTGATAGGGATTACTTTCAAGGAGACAAAATAGATATTCATGAACAAATAAACAATTCTTGACAAAACATTAAATTCGCGATACTTTTTGAACAAGCCTCGTATATGTTTTTTCTTTTGTAGTGGTAATTCTGGACAATATATTTAAGAAAAAAGCCGCGTGGCTCTTAAAGTAATATTTTATTTTTTGTTAGTTTCACCCCCATTAGCACTGTAGCTTCTACTCTATGGTAAGTAAAGTGTGCGCCGTTTGAGACTAAAGAACGCCTAAAATCCCTTCCCGTTTTTCACACGTTGGAAGCCACAGGATTTTACGCACGAAAAAGGTATGTGTATGGACAGCTATAATCTCCAGTACGTCTATTCTAGTATTGTGCAACCGTGACCACGTTTGTTTATTTATTTTAAATATTTAAAAAACAGAAAATGGCACACTCGACAATCCTGGACTTGTTGATATTATAACGGTATTAACGGAAACAGTCGCGTCTTCTTTTGCTTCATTCATCTTGAATCATTTCTTTCGAGTACGCGTTTTCGAGAGTGCTTGTCGCATGAATGTGAAACCATTTTCGGCGTCTGCGTGACCGAGAAAACGTTGAATGTGCAGAGAAAATGGTATGTAGCTGTGCTTAGCGCTTATGCTTATATTGCACTTTTTATTCTAAATTATCTTTCGGAAAATTTTACACTGCTGAAACATCCTGCCACCATATTACACGACGAACCTGTCAGATTCTGATTCGCCTTTTATCATTGTAGTTCATGCATGACGCACCACTGGATTATTTTGTTAGTACGTACAAGGTTAAAATAAACTATTTTAAAATACTCGTCGGGGTTTGTATAGCGAGGATTTGGCTTTAATTCCAATTATGGCCACCTCAAAAATAATAATTCTTAACCGATTTTTTAAGCATTGAGCAGGATTTCAAGGTTTTTCAGACAAAGTCGCTTATAACTCGAAAAGTGACAACCTTAGAAACAAGTTACTGTAGGCCTTTTTGTCCAGATTAATTAAAAAAATATGAAACAAATTCTGTGCGATTTTTTTGTATTTTATTTAAAAATAAAAGTGTATAGAGATTTGATACGGATGAAAAATCGAGCTAGAAAATTACGAGAATACGAGATTTTCGCCTCGCCTAATATCCCAGCATCTGTTCACGGATGATCGCTGGGTAACGTGAAGCCATTTATTGATCAGTTTGGAATGAGCAATTGGGTACTGTTGCGCCTTGTAGAACTTCGGATTTCACTGTTTTTTCACTTGAAACTTATAGAGGGTAATCTGACAGATTCTTTTAAAACAGAAAAAGTGTGGATGAAGCACGCTTTCCACTAATTTTTGTCCCCAAAACACAGCTATTTCCACTATTATTTTTAGCATCATCTGCCATATGATTTCTGTGCATATGACATATGAGAGGCGCTTGCCTGCGGTGGTGCCGGATTGATCTCCGCATTTAGGGAAAAATATGAAAACTGGAAGATTTACATACATATATTAATTAAACAAAATAACGAAAAAGAAACAAAAAAAAAACACAGCAGTAAATTAAAAAAGAATTAAGGGAATAATTATAGAAAAAAATTGTGCATTATGAGGTAGTAATAAAATATATTTTTGAACACATACATAGGTCGGTATGAGAAGTGATCATTCACCATCTCAGAGTTACTGCTTCAAAGCTGCGGATCAAGGATAAAGGTACAGACTTGACACCCTTTCTCGTTCTTATATTCTTAAACACTTGAGTGCTGATAGTTCCCCACCAATATGACTACTACTACTTCATAATGCACACCTTTTTTCCATAATTATTAGGAAACCCATTTTGTATTATTTGAGTTTTTTGTTTCTTTTTCGTTATTTTGTTTCATTAATATATATATATATATATATATATATAACTTGAGACGTGGTCATTGTCGTCTAGACCAGTTAGGTGAAAAATTAAAGCTTCCGGCTTTTGTTGGGTACTTCGACAAAATTTAAGCTTATACTTTTTTAATTCTCTCTAGCTTTCAATGGACTTTGCCATCATCATCAGGAGAGTAGTATGTGAGGATGTTGCTAATTGTTGTTTACGTATAGGATGAGGGAAACGTCCAGTAACATGGTGAGAGCTGGATAGATGGTACAATGGTCAAAATTAGATAAAACATGACAAGAACAAGTTAAAAACAGATTGTACCATCTATCCAGCTCTCACCATGTTACTGGACGTTTCCCTCATCCTATACGTAAACAACAATTAGCAACATCCTCACATACTACTCTCCTGATGATGATGGCAAAGTCCATTGAAAGCTAGAGAGAATTAAAAAAGTATAAAGAGTCCTCTTTGCTTAAATTTTGTCGAAGTACCCAACAAAAGGCGGAAGCTTTAATTTTTCACCTATATATACATATATATATATATATATATATAAATATACATAAATTTTCCACTTTTCAAATGTTTCTCTAAATGCGGAGCCCAATCTGGCAACACCGCAAGCGCCTCTCAATATGACGTTATGACATATGCACAGATGTCATATGGCTGATGGTGGTTGAAATAATGGTGCAAATAGCTGCTAAAAATACAGTGTTTTGGGAAAAAAATTTCATGAAAAGCGTCCTTCATCCGCACTTTTTTTATTTTAAAATAATCTATCAGACTACCCTGTATAAGTTTCAAGTGAAAAAACAGTGAAATCAGAAGTTCTACAAGTCGCAACAGTACCTCCACTTGTCTGTCACAATCTGGTAATGTTGCACTGCTCCAAAAATTATAGAGAAGCGGTGTATTTTAGCATCAAAATACGTAGGATTTGACTAGTTTTTGTTATATCATCTTGGTATGCGATGTACCCGAAAATTTGCGGTGAGCTCCTGAACTATCACCGCTAATTTACACGTTTGGGCGCAGTGCGACGTTGCCAGAATGTGGCAGGCGAGTTTATAAATGCTTGGTAAGCTGACGATGTCGAAGATTTTTTAACGAAAATGTGGAGAATGTATTTGACAGCTATAATTAATCCGAACTTATCAAATAATAAGTTTTCTATCTCGATTTTTCCCATAATCACGTTGTTTAACGTGGAACAAGAGGTTACCGCCTGATTGCCCGGATCAAGTTTGTTTAAACATTTTTTGTCTAAATCTATTACAAAAAATGTATTTTTTTTTACCCGAACAAGTGTTATTCAGTTTTTTTGGATCATCCTGAACATAAAAGGCCGCAAGTAATGTTCTTTCTAAAGTGCATGCAATTTGATTAGTTCTTCAACAGTGACTTTTCAGAATTCCAGTATTTTGTTTTTGTGCTTTTCAAATTTTTGTGATTGCAAAGGTGTTTATTGATCTTGTGTATATGTATATATTTTTCGTGTTTATTCTTGATTTTTCATTTTATTGGTGATAAATGGCATCATTGCCTTTTATACCTCTGTGCCTTTATCGGTAAATCAAGAATTGAATAAAACTCTGTTCAAAATTATAATTTTTGAGATCGACAAGTATCTAAATTGAAGTTAAAACCTTGTTCTACAAGACGTTGAGGAGTATGTTGAGATTCGTTTATTTTGAAGCGATTTTTAACCTAGGCAAAAATTGGCGAAATTGATTTCCGCAGACTACATACAAATGTTCCATGTTCGATGGCATTTTCATTTCTTAACAAATGGTGCGGTAGGCAGGGTCGTACTTAAAATTTTGTTTTGTGTTTATTTTTGATCAGTTCGCTGTAAGACGACGGACGATAAGTAGTATAGTCTTTAAATGATAAGCTAATACACTTTATTGTTTTTACGTGTACAGTATGATGCTCTTACCTTTAATTTTGTATGTTCCTATCAGGACAACCCGAAATGCGGATCAAATGGGCATTCTTATTTTATATGATCTAAGTTTAAAGGAAATCACTAGCATTCTGTTACTCTCATATCAGAAACGTACGGACCTTTGACTATTAGCTTACAACTATTTCTGACAGGACCATTCAGTAACTTGACCTATTTACAGTATTATACATATTTACAAGAGGGAATATTAATAACTAAGTAAATTCTCTCGATTACTCAGATCTCATTGACTAAACTGGTCAATTCGCCAAAAATGACTAAATCCATAAAATTACGCTTTATTAAATTTTCCCAACACCTTTTTTCATAATTTTGAGGAGAATCACAACAAGTACCACTTTAAAAATAGGCAATGTTTCCTAAGCCGGTAACATCAACATCAATGTATTTGATTATTCTGTGTTTATACTGGACGTTGAACAACAAAGGGGTTCTCTCAATAATATTATCTGAACACCAACCCCATAAAAAGTTACTGAGCCTTCTTCCTTATATCAAGTGACCATGTCAGTGCTTAAAGTATCCTAAAAACCCCACCTATTTCTAAATAGACCAGAATATCTAGAATTTCAGAAAAAATGTATGGACATTATTTACATCGGAATTATGTTCTTGAGGGTGAATGAAAAGGCACTCAGCTTGAATCTTAAGGGTACATTTTTTTATCATCATCTGCTCTCAGAAAAATAATTTTTTGCTTACCTTGAAAAAACTTCAAAGTATTGCTGCCGTTTTTGGTACACTAGATTAACATGAAAAAAAGGCACCAAAAAATGAATAGCTTTGACGAAGAATTACGTACAGAGCATACGGAAAATTGCGATATCTTAGGAGGTAGTGTATTTTCCTCTCAAGCCTCTGTATTTGTTTTTATCTATCAATCCACTAAAACATATTTCCCCTAATGATTGACTAATATGTTTAAAAATTGTGAGTTACAGCCGGGAACAGTCGAACCGAAGCCGGTCCTGTCCTATCCCTCGATCACGTCGCCAGCGCCAGCGTAAATATACTGTTGGACCAGCGAAAGATTGCAAGCCGAAAGAATGCGGACAAAAAATTGCGAAGTTGTCAGATGTTCTACATAAAATGCGGTCCATACATATTAACATATTTAAGATATAGAATTGTTCCGCTGAATTTGGCAATGTAGCTGGAAAACCCAGGCCGCAGGTAAACATCCGGTCGCTGATTGGTCCAAAACTCTTATCTTATCTGAAACTAGAATAACGTGCCGATGGCACGGTCATTTATAAACCTACTCCCATAGGCGTAGGCAGTTGGCAAATACTTTGAAAATATAATTTACTGTTTAGTGGTGATAATGGAATTCAAGCATGGGAAAGTTATTCACAGCCAGGCAAGGGAAATAATAGCAAACGTGATACGTGCTTGCGATGCAGAAGCGGCTAACAATACTTTCGTTTATCCACTGGTAGCTAGAAATGCAAGGGCGGCATATTATACGGGTGTTAGTGAACGAACTATAAGTAAAATTAGAAAAGAAGATAAAGACAGGCAAAATGCAACCTCCACACAGCCTTTAGCTTCTCCCGGAAAAAAGAGATCACGCCCTTCTGTGATCCAAAAAATTGATGGAGTCGATTTTTCCATTATTCGGAGAATGATAGAAAAATTTTACTGTGATTTTAAAGTGGTACCTACTTGTAGTAAACTTCTAATCAAACTGAAGGAAGAAATGGAATTTCCATTTGGTAAAGAATCGTTGAGGCTGCTTTTAAAAGCAAAAGGATTTTACTGGCGTAAATGCCACAACAAAAGGAAATTACTAATGGAAAGACCCAGTATTTTACATTGGCGATACAAGTATCTTAGGTCTATTAAAAAGTTCCGGGAAGAAGGAAGGCATATTATTTATTTGGACGAAACTTGGGTTGATAATGACCTCACTTTCAAGAAATGCTGGCAAAGCGAAGAAATTATGGGTGTCCTGAGCAATATAAGTTCTACAGGTAATAAAGTTTCTTTCACCTCGATTTTGCTTATTATACATTTTTCTCAATTTTGGAATATTCTTAATAAGTGCTCATTTAATTTGTCTAATTGAATACATAATCCCTTGCAAGTATTTTTTTCTCAAAAATATGTTTTTTATACATAGTGATTCAAAAAGGTGTTGGCAAACTTAAAATAACACTAAAATGAGGCTATTTATTCATTTCCAGGACGACTTATAATTGTTCATGCGGGTTCGCAAGATGGTTTTGTTCCTGGAGCCTGTCTCATTTTCAAGGCTGGCTGTGCCACTGGTGATTATCACGGTCAAATGAACCAAGAAAATTTCACGAAGTGGCTTACTGAAAAACTATTTCCTAACATTCCTCCTAATAGTATTATAATAATGGATAATGCACCTTACCATTCAGCTTTGGAAGACAAGCCTCCAACTAGATCTTCTCTAAAAAGAGACATCATCACGTGGTTGAGCAAAAAAGGTATAGAGCATGATCCTAATGCTAAAAAAATGGAGCTTTATGAAATAGCTTGTCTACATAGGCCACCATCTGATGAGAAAAATTATAAGATAGATAATTTAATAAGAAGTTTCGGACACACCCCACTTCGAACGCCACCCTATATGTGTCAGTTTAATCCCATAGAGATGATTTGGGCACAAGTAAAATTTTTCATTAGAAGCCATAATACAAGCGGCGAATTTACTATAAAAAAACTAGATGAAATTTCTAATAAGGCCATCGCTTCAGTAAGTGCCAGTGACTGGCAAAAGGTTATTGGACATGTTATAAAAATTGAAGATGAATATTGGGAAAAAGACAGTCTCATTCAAGAAATACAGGAAGAAATAATAATCAACATAGGAGGTGAAAGTGATAGCAATGACAGTTCCTCAGACAGTGATCATGACTCTAATCAGGATTGAAACTATACTAGATTGGCTACCTTTTAGAATTTTTAGATATTCATTTATTATACTATTGGTTTGTGGCTTTTAGTATCTCAGTAGAAAGTCTAATTCTATGTGTTGTTTATGGGTTATTTCATCAAGAAATTACTTTTTGTTTTCCTATATTTTTCTATTCAGTCAGATATTTTTGACTTGTTGTATTCTATTTTAGAAGAATGCATAATTTGTTTTGCTGTTCAATCATAATGCGTACATAGGAATATTACTTGTTGCCTAAAAAATATATTTATTTTGTTCTCAATATTCAGTGTTTGTGTATATTTATTTCTTATAATGTATGTTTGGTATCACGTCATTATGAATCGCAAAAAAATATTAATACTACCAGTTGTAATAAAATATAAATTCAATTAATAATTCAAGTCTCTCCGATCTCCGCCTATGACTCCATATAAAATCGTCTAATGGTAAGGTTTTTTCATCGCATTTCCCCCTTTCGTCCCTAGCAATCTTTGGCTGGTCGATCTATAAATACGTATTTTACGACAGAGCCGTACTTATAATAAATTATGAGAGCGGGATGTGTATCACAAATTTGAGAAACATGCAATTTTTTAAACAACCCCGGGATCCGCCACTGCCGTCTGTGGTCGGACAGACGAAAGCTAAATTATTAGTCCTTTTGTATGTTTAGGTGAGTTGCCATTCCATTTACGCTCAAAAATGTCTTCCGTTGAGAACTCCGTCTATATGTTTTTTCTATAACCCGGTCCATTTTCAGCTAGTTAGCCTGATCTAAAGGGTCAATATAGTTCAGGTGTTGCTATGAATGCGACTGGGCGAGAGGATCGTTGGGATATCCGGGATATTTCCTCTTCTCCTGCTGAAGGATTTGATGTGCTGCTCGGTCCATCTCTTCTTGTGTCATGTCCAAAGCTTCCTGCATCTCCTTGGAAGTATATCGGACAAAGTCCGGGTCGCAGTATTTGCCCAGGCCCTGCTCGGCAAGGATTCTCCCTACGAGGCTTTCCGCAGATCCTACTACTTCAAACGAAGCAGGTTTTCTGTCCGCTGGGCTACCTGGCAGTGAATGACTCAAACGTTCTACTCCTGCGTGACCATTGGGCTCACCGGTACAAGCTGGACAAATAAGCATGGAATGTAATAATGGAATGCATCTGCACATTAATACCGCAGTAATTCTTGCTTAATGCAGTTATCATGCCAGAAGTAGCCCAAAAGAATTCAGGAAGAACATGAGACACTAATGTAACATTTGAAACTTATCATGTGGGTGGGTGGGTTTTTGCGTCTCCTTCTGGAAGGCTTTTGGTGTTTTCTGGACGATGGACGAGGGTCGTTTTGGAGGGCTGGACGTCCTGTTTTTGGGAACGTTGCAGCGCCTTCCAAAAGAAGATTACTGATGTAACATGCGTTTTGAAGATTAGTTGTTGAGTTATAATCTATTCAATGTTACTGTTTATTTGCACTCTAGGGTTAATATTGATGGGGAGCTTCAGCCTTCTTCTGTCACTTTTATGTCAGGCATCAATTTTGTTTTCGAAATTCAACTTGCTGACTTAAACTGTTCTAAAAATAATTTTTGAAAAGCAGTGGACATTACGCTTGTAGTATCGAATGCACAGCAGCTAGGTGGAATTCTTCCTAAGTTCTTTTGGGCTACATTTCGCTTTCTGAATCAACCAACAATTAATCAAAAAGCAACATGTCTTCTTGCTCGTAGGTTAACACCTCGGAATACGGGGAAATCGAAAAAATGTTAATTTTTATTATTGTGGTTTAAATAGTACGTATCAAATGTCTATAAAAGGTGCGCTGGGCAAATATTCAGGAAATAGTTTCTTGATCTACGATTTTTGCAAGCCGTGGTGCATTCAATGAGAAGGCGTCTTTGAATTTGTGTAACATGGGCCCCCAATTCCCATATTAAATCAAGAAATATCTCATAAATCACTTGGTTTGGCTACATTAAATTAGCATGGACACAAATCTGAAACGATATCTAGATTTATATGACAGCAATTAAATTTGCATTTTATTGAAAATAAAATGTCTTGCTGTTACTGTAAAAAATTCTTTTTGATATATTCTGTGAGGACAAATATCTATTTTACAAACAGTAGGATAAATAGTCGAGTTTGGAAAGGTTTGGAAATCTCGAAACTGGAGATACTAAAGACCAAAATATGTAAACTGACCTAAACATACCTTATTCCAAAAGTTGATAGTTTGCGAGATACAGGGTGTCAAAGCTACAAATTTATTTCCTATTTTTCTTTATTGCTTGACAAGTATTTCAGATTTTGACATAAAACTCGGTATAGGGAGGTTTCCTAGTATGAGAAATAAGAATCCGTTATTTTTTATGGCCAAACTTCTAGAGGGCGCCACTCACAGCACTATCTCGGTAAATACCTTATAATAACTTTTTTGTGCTACCCTGTATACATCAACTGACTGAAAAATCTTATTTTCTCGTATTTCCACAACAAAAAAGGTTTACTTGTTAAAAGTGTCTGAAGTTGATAGTTTTCGAGATATTTGTTTTTAAATGCATATTAGAATATTCATCAAACGTATACTCCATGATGTTTAATAATTTATTGTCAACTTAAAATTATTCATGAAGTTTAAAGCAGTATTATGACAAACATTAGAAACCATAGCAACGCTACTCAGATATTATCCAAAGCAACTTGATTATTATGTTATAAAAATGTTTTATCATGATGGTACAAATAATGCATTGGAACTTTTAAAAACAAATATCTCGAAAACTATTAGCTTTAGACAATTCTAACCAGTAAACCTTTTTTGTTGCAGAAATACGAGAAAATAAGATTTCTCGGTCAGTTGTTGTATACAGGGTAGCACAAAAAAGCTTGACCATAAAAAATAACGGATTCTTGGTTCTCATGCTAGAAAAACCCCCTATACCGAGTTTTATGCCCAAATCTGGAATACTTCTCAAGCGATACGGAAAAATAGAAAATAAAATTGTAACTTTGATACCCTCTATCTCGCAAACTACCAACTTTTGGCCTAAGGTATGTTTAGGTCAATTCACATATTTTGGTCTGTAGTCTCCAGTTTGGAGATTTCCCAACCAGATATTCGCTATATTAAAATTACAGAATGCTTGTTCTTTAACAAACATCGAGTAAATATTCAATTTACTTGGCTACCGTGCAAGAAACCCTGTTCCTTATGCCAGCTCTGTTAACACAGAGCTCACGCGCCCTCTATTGGGCAGTAGGACGACTACTTGTAGCCATACCACCGTCACCGCAACGCGGCGTGGTCGTGTAGTTGTCCTACTGTCTAGTATAATGCGTGATATCTTCCTGTTAACAGTAAATTGAATATTTACTCGATGTTTGCTAAAGATTAAGCATTCTGTAATTTTATTAGGTCTTTCAGAAGTTTTTCGGATCGCCGATAATGAATCTGATACCAAAATTCTCAATAAAATGCAGCTACAAACTACATTTCTGTCAATCTCCACGAATCCTACGATCCAATACATCTCCCAATTATAAGCCCAAACTACCTCAAACATAAAAATGAATTTTAGTAAACCTTGAAACACAATTAAATAAACTATATTTACACTGTATTCAGCTTCCCTGGCTTCCGAGATGTTTTCGGCTCTAACGGCACTCACACTTTAGAGAAATAACCGTGAGCATTTTGAGTAATCCATCTTAAAAATAGTGAGTTTTTCCTATGAAAATATGTTAAAATTTTGGCTAAAAGGCTGTAGCTACACATGCGTGTATAGTTAACAGTTCATGGTGCTAGGCTATTTTCGAAAATTTTTTTGAATGGAATTCGGCATAAAACACTGCAGAGGAATTGCTTGAATTTGTATGAAGCTTGATTTAAATAACAGGTTGAGAGATCTGCAAAACAGGCGTCGTCAAAATTCGCTTGCTAGTTGCATCACGCCGCCTCGTGGGCACACACCACGGTACCACCAATCCCGACCTAACCAATTAGTCTACAGCACTTGCTGCAAACTAACTGTCAAGATCGACTGTTAGAGGCACATTCTATCATACCCACACCATTCTTCATTTGTTTTTTCAACCTGCTTGACGCCCCAACTGGCGGCGTTCAAGTGAAATAAACCGGATTGGTAAGGTATCTCCCTCTGCCTCTGCCACGGTACCACCGTGCGAGGACGGTGACTTGGTTACACTTGAACGCCGCCAGATGGGGCATCAGGCAGCTAGAAAGAACAAGGGAACACTGGTGCCGGTAGGATTGAATTGCCACAAGCATTCGATCCTGAAAGCTCGTTGACAGCTGGTGCTGTGGAGGTATAGGTTATTCGGAGATGCGGGTTCGAATCCCGCCGGCGCCGCTTTCTCATTTCTTTCAAGTTATTGTTTACTAAACATACTCATCCGAAAAATCGTATACAGGCTGATATGGTTTACTTGGTTTAAATGATATATACCAAACTCGTTCAATAACTGTTTAAAGTTACTGTGTAAAGTTATGACAATTTGTATATTGATAGTTTTTCAAAATAAAATCATTTTGAGAAACTGACTACGCTACGGTTAACATTATACAAATTGCTTTTCGGTGAACATTAACATGCGTCATCCAACCTACAAATATATACAAATCTAAGAACTCAAAGTCGTACATCCAATATGCAGAGTCACGTGACTGACGGATGTAAAGTCCGATTTATAAACTTGTCGCTGAGAAGATTTAATTCAAATTATTGAAATGAAAGTGGTGAAATCTTTGATTAAAGGTATTTAAAGATCCAGTACCCCAGGCCTCTTAAGGTTTGCCGCCCCATAAGGGAATGGAATAAGCAAAAACCTTTGAGTCGGATTCAGACGCCTCTGCATCCTGTCGGGTCAGGCCATGAAAATGTTCTGGTGACAAGTTTATCAATCGGACTTGCGAATAGACGACAGCGACGATACTGATGGCTAACCTCTGCCGTGGAAGGAAGCCCTATGATTAAGTAGAGAGCCAGTCGGATGCAGCTTGGTGGAGTGCTGGTGGGCATCCGAGGCAGAGGGTGACGGTAAGAAGCCAGCGACAGCCATGGCTTGCGCTTGGGCCAGCTTCAGACCGCTGGCGATGCGGCTGAAGCTGGTTTGCGGAGTGCAAGTGGTGACGATTGGGGTGGGCAGCGGTGTGGTACAGGGGGATGGAGGACTCCCTAGGCCCCCCAGGCCGAGTCGCACACGCCGCGGGGGCGGAGTAGGAGGCATCAGCTCCGTGTCGTCACCCTGCATGCTAACAACACAACACGATCACCAACAACCGCGCTCGAATGATAGTCCAGTACTTGCGCCAGGAAGTAGGTAATTTTTTTCTTACAAAAAGTGTATCAGCAGATTGTTGATATCATTAGAGTACTACTTTGTAGTGGTTGCTTAATGTAACCATACGGCTCGCTTTCAGCGTTCCGTTTTATTGCCCAAGCCTACGGGCGAGGAAGTATTGTGATCGCGAAAAATTTCGAAAATGAGATATCATGCTTTTTGGATGTTATATGACATTAATTCACGAAAAACCATGTCACTCATTTCCATCGGTCTGTCAGTCTGTCGGCTAGTTCTTGACTTGTCTATAAATTGGAAAGTACCGATCGGATTTGGATGACACTTTCACACAAGGTTTTTACTATGTCAATGACGTAAAATCCTTGTAGTTCTTGAAAATCGGTCAGTGGCCGCGGAATCGAAAAACCTTTTTTGTAGCCAATTTAATTTTAACCAGTAGTCACTGTCTCTATCACTAACTTTAGCTGTAATAAGCAAAAATGTAATTATACATACAGGGTGTCCGCAAAGTTGGGGTGTTCCTTTTCAGAAACAACTACCCTTCAAATAACAAAGGTAATGTGTAGTGAAACGAGGGCGACCAAGTAAAAAAAAATAAAGGAAAAAGTACTCATTCTCCAGTTGACGAGAAGGGCTAAGTACGTCTCTGCCCGAAATCATACCGCTCCAACAGAGAATGAAATCAGCTGATGCGCTACCGAGCCAGCCCAAACATTCACCGAAAATGTTTGTTGAAAATGTGCCCGACGGACAGCGTGCGGATTTTCTACTGACCAAACATGAGTGTTGCGAAAGTTATTTACCCCATTACGCGTGAACGTAGATTCGTCTGTCACCAATATGCACTTCAAAAAGTCCGGGTTATTGTCATGTTGATGCAACAACCACTCACAAGACCGCACTCTTGCTGGAAAATCGTCAAGTTGAAGGGCTTGTACACGTTGGACGTGAAACGGATACAGCCCCTCTTCACGCAGCGTTTGCCACACTTTAGTTTTTGATACTTGCACTTCTCTAGCCACGTCTCTAGTGCTTGTTGAGGGATTCTCGTCTACGCGATTACCTCTACACGCGTGACCGTAACCGTCGGTTGAAGGTTGCATACCGACCTGACACACTGCCCCCGACCCAGTTCTGTCGTCGGGTTGAGCCAGTGACCTTGTACCACTCGGTGATGTCGCGGGTCGCGGGTACAGGACGGTATTCAGATATTTTTGATGTTGCAGATCCCTTTATCTCGGTTCCCTTAAGACATTGGTGTATGTGGTACTAAGAAAAATTGCTTATGTTTTCAAGATCTACACGTCGTGTAAAGGAAAACCTCAACTTTGCGGACACCCTGTATATTATAAGTTTGACCTTCCATCTCCGTCAACCGTATTAAGATGTGATTGATTAAACGTCACTTATTTTTACAAAGTAGTATTCTAACGATATCAGTAAAGAAATTTACACCGAATAGTCGTAAGAAGGATCATTAAGGTCTGCGCTCGATCCTATTCATTTTTGGCCAAAGCAAAAAAATCAGTTTTATCTATATCTAGTAACTATGCGAATCAACTATGAACCTATTTCCCCGTACTAATCAGAATCGAGATTAATTCAACGTTGAAGTGAAAATTGTCTCTAGGCCAGTTGAAGGCCATTTCTTTAATGATATGCGAATATTTAAGGGTGTCAATCTGCATGAAAAATTAATGTTAGGTTGCTCTATAAACTATGGTCCAAAAATGTTTCGTTACAAAAACTCGGGGTGTTGAAGTTTTAGGAAAACAATGGAAATTAATTAATATTTTCAGAACCGCTTCAGATATTTCACTGATATTTAGTACGGGTATTGACTGACGCCAATGGTTTTTTCCAAATAAAATTTATTTTTGAATTCCTCGTTCACTTTGAAACAAATGATTTCTCTTGAATTGCTTTCCTTCGATGCGCCATTTTTGAGTAAAAAAATAAAAACCGTTCCATTGTCTAATTTATTATTATTAATTTAATTGGAAAAATTAAACACATTAGGGGTAACGAACAACAAGAACTGACAACATAAACATAACATTAAAACGAACGAAATTAGTACAAAAATTGTTGAAAATGGCACCCTTGACAGGTGTTCCTCACTATGCTGTTGAAATTATGTTAAAATAACACCAAAAATCCGTTTGACAGGTAATTTGATTTGATGCAGTGTTTTCCCTAGTTTAACCTTGAACTGACGGTGATCGTGACTAGGAGGGGGAAGAGAAGAAGGCTTGTGATATAGCTGTTGAACATAGCTTTAAATAAAACAGACGTTTCTTGTTTTAATAAAAGCTTAATATATATATATAATTGTTAATTGGGAAATTGGCAAACTTTTAGGCTTTAAGGCCTGATTATTTTTTCTCTCTCATAAAATACTACAACTGAGAGGGTGGGTATCACGTACTCATTTAAAAAGGAATTAATTTGGGTTTCACTTGATGACACCTGTTTCGAAGCCGCAAAGGGAGGAAATATCCGAATTTTTAAAATATCGAATGCGGTGTTTTTTGTCTGTTTTTTTTTTCTATTCTACATACCTTCAATAACACTCATAACCAATCCTTCTCACAATCAATGTTCAGTCTGTATGAATTGTATTTTCCCTATGTACTGGACTACCAAGGCAGCAGACAAATAAGGTATTTTTTCAACAAAAACATCTGAAACCGTACAAAAATTGACCGTGATATACCTTATTTGTCCGAAATGTTAAAAGAAACTCAGTTAGCGAAAAATGGAATCAAATCGAAATCTGTTAGATAATTGGAAACAACAGGCAAAAGTCACACCAGCCCTCTTACCCTTATAGCTAGGGTGCAGGAAGCCAGCTCTACTGAAAATTAACAGTTTTTTAAGTTTGCTGTGCTTTCAGCAAGGATCTTTGACAGTTGAAAGGTATATGTATAGTGTAAATACTATGAGTAATGGCCAAGCGCTTATTGAGACACAGTAATTTGAAATAACTTCATACAACTTTATTGTTTGTAACTATATATTGAGGAACCTATCAGTCTATCAGTATCACTGTATAACATATAAATGCCTTTTATGCATTTTTATCTAAACAAATAACATCGATTCAAACGTAGATACCAATGCGTAACATAGTAACCAGGGTATTTCGATAAATAATTTGGTTTAATCAAACGTATACGATAGCTTCGTTTCTGTTTCCAAATATTATTTGTTTTAGAGAGCATTGTCAATCAAAAGAAAGCGTTAATAGCACTTATTGAAGAACACAACTTGTAAATTGATACAAATTTAGAAATGTGGTTTGAATATTTTCATTCATCTCTTATGTTTCCTATCTCAAGAACTATAGACAATCAGAAGTAGAATATATTCATACCGAGTATGCTAACAAAATTAAAGCCGCATGTTTTTTTTGTTCCAGCGACTTATTTATCTAACTAGCAACATATGAGAGAACAAAAGCAACTGAACAATAATGAGTGCCTGAATTTTCAGTATTTTTCGTTGATCTGGCTCCCACTTTCAATAGCAGATATTGCAGATGGAGTGAAAATAAATTCCATTAACGAGGTAATGTTTGACGGTGGATTTAGTATCGATAAAGTTGGCTCTTAATAAATAAAATAATCGTATTAGACGAAAATACCCCTGGTTTGCGTTGGTTTTATTGAATTGGTGTACCCATTTTATGCGTCCATGTTTTAAATACCCCCTTGAACAACTTGCATCAATAAAACAACACTTTACAATTATTCCGGGGAAATTTGCTAATATGATTTTATAAAACGTACCATTCAAAAAGTACATAAAATGTTATATGGCATGTGCATCACGAAATTGGAATTGAATAAAATTTTCACCTAAGGTTACTACTACGCCAAGGGCAAAAGCTTTGTAGTTTTTGAAAATCGGTCTAGTGTTGGTCCAAAAACGAGAAAAATAAAAATCGCTAAAACTTCGCTTTTGACTTTCCAGAGGCTCCTGATGATTTTTGGGAAATTTTTTATAGGGGTTGAAAATGAGGGTTTAGCGTTACAGTGAGTGGGGGAGGGTATATCTCAGTTTTTTGACGTTGGTATATTTATAAGCCTCTAACCCCAGTGATTCTACGCACCTATCAGACATATTTGACATTTCACGTTGTAGAAGAGCGGTAAGTTGTATGATTCCAAAAAATAATACCATCAGTGAATGCAATGAGGAAAGGTTATCAAATAAAAGTGAACTTTACTTACTCAATCACAGTGTACGATTTCTCATCTCCATTGTGCAAGTTCGTGAAAGACCTCAAAGGGATTTCTTCATCCTTGACACCATCTTCATCTTTTAGTGAGGTCGCACTCACCCTGCTTTGTACATTCTTCGTGATGTGATTCATCCCTTCTGCTACTGCGCTCTTGATCGAGTTGTAAGGGAGGTAGTCGACGCTGGATGCTGGCGTGATTTTTATTTGGGTCGAGTTCAGCTTCAACGATTTCGCGCGATTGAAAGTGTGTCCTTTTCTCATTGATGACCACACGCTACCGAATAACGAGTGGTTCCTCTGCAAGAAATAGTACATTAAATACCTATGTTAAGAAGCCATCAATAATATCCTTCCTTAAACGAGGTATGTTCATATTTTTCCCACTACTACATTGCACTATGTTACTGTATTTTCCAAAAAAGCAGTTTACTCGTATGCACGTTTTCAGTAGCAAGAGCCTCCACAACTACGGCTAAATGGAGCGTCCAAAGCCAACAAAATACGGATTTTCATTTAGTTAGCGACAATTGAGAATTCTGTATCAGGATCGCAGAAACCGAGAAAGGTGTGCACATTAGTAATTTAAATTTTCCGATTTATTAGGCGCATAATGCGTATTCCACACCCCCTCGTTTTCCTGTTATCCTGATAACAAGTCTTCAACAGAATGAGAAGTAAGCATTCCATACCTCCATGCCTTTTTTATCCTGATAACAAATGTTTACCTACTCAGTAAAGCGTGTTCGAGAAGAACATCTGTTTAAATATGCGTCTATCAGTTGTTGAGAATTCTGTATCAGGATCATACAAAAAGCGAGAGGTGTGCTCATGAGTCTGAATATCCCACCTGCTATATATCAAGAGCTTAGGGCGTATTTTGTACCTCCTTGCTTTCCTGTTATCCCAATAATAAACCTTAGCCGAGCTAACCAATTATTACAAGAAATGAAATGAAATGAAGTTAGTCTACAGCACCAGCTTAATCATATTAAAAAAAAGATTCTTTAAAAATTGCTAAAAATAAATTGGATATATTTTCAATCATGGTTGGGTAAACTGTTTTTCTGTTTTCCTGATCACAAGCCCAGTAAAGTACTTTTGAAATGATTTGCTTGAATGTCCGGTTATCAGTCATTGATAATTCTGTATCAGGATCGCAGAAACGGAGAACGGTGTGCACATCAGTAATTAAAATTTTCCGCCTGCGATTTATTAGGTGCATAATACCCGTTATCCTGGTAACAAGTCATCACCTGCGCAGTGAAGTATTTTTGAAACAGATGCAAGAGGTATGCTCATCAGTAATTTGAATTTCCGGCACGCCATATATCAACAGCATGGAAGGTAAGCATTCCATACCTCCATGCGCCCTGATAACAAATGTTTACCTAGTAAAGCGTGTTCGAGAAGAGCATCTGTACAAATACGCGTTTATCAATTGTTGGGAATTTTGTATCAGGATCGTAGAAAAGGCGAGAGGTGTGCTCATCAGTCACTTGAATATCTCGCCTGCCATATATCAGGAGCATAGGACGTATTTTGTGCCTCCTGGATTTTCTGTTTTCCCGATAACAAATCCTAGCCGGCCTAACCAATTATTATAACTTAACCTGTTAAAATAAAATTGTTCACGACAAATTTTGATGTTCAAATGACTTGATCTTTTATATAGCTTGAAATTGTATTAAAAATATATGAATCTTCAAAAAGTGCTAAAATTAAGTTGGATATATTATCAATCGTGGTTGGCTAAACAAAAAATATGTTTTTGTTCAATGTTTAGTTCGATATCGCAATTGCATTGCCTACAGTGGACGTCTTGAAGACCTTCTGTGCTATCTGGGCTTATGTCATTGTTATTTGTGAGGAGTCACCAACACTGCAGTTAAATTTGGATCAATTCCTTGATAATTTACTTACACGATGCATTGGTTCAGGATTGTCATCAATAAGTTCATCAAGGTTTCCAGAAATTGCACGTTTCAGCTCTGGTCCAGCCTCGTGGAGCGTTCTGAGCCCGGCTTGTAAAGTAACCGTATTGTGGATTTCCTTATCCCCTTCTTTGGTCTCTTGTTCTTTCCTTTTTTTGAATCGCCTGAAGTAGTCTTGGATGAGGAAGGTTGCGTAAAACTTTCCTACCGTCACTTCGTCGTCCACACCTATACATAAAATTTAATTATTGAGTTTTATCCATTTATAAACGTTTCCAGATGAATTTAGTTACCTGGCGGAGGAACGACTTGGTCTAAAAGCTTCGGGCTGGTCCTCTTCCAGATCTTTTTGATTACAGCTCTCAATTCTGCATTTGCATCATCTATGTTTCCTTCGGTCTTTATCCTCAATGAAGTTCGTACAACGGCAAATAAGGTAGCGTTGAACAGCACTGTTCCATCGCTGTTCAAGGGCATATTCATAGAGACCAAGCGTTTGCAAGCAACCCTATGTGGGCACAGCTTGCCGAATCCCAAAGGCGGCGATATTTTCCGTAATAGCGTAACTACATCCAAATGTTTGATCCTTCCCTTTGCATCAGGGTCGTATTCGCTCCACAGCCTTATAAACTCGTCCAGGTGGTGTGGTCCAAGTATCGACCAGTCCCTTGTCAGATAGTCGAAGTTGTCCATTATTACTGCCACGAATAGGTTAATGATCTGGAAGAAAATGGAGTGAAATGGGTAGTATACAAGACAGTGCTGAACAGGAACAACACTGGTAAACGCAGGATTTGTGACATGACAGTTTTTGGGTGAATCTTATGTATTTTGAGACACTTAAATCAAATCTAATAATAGGAATTTTCTATCACCCACAGATATTCGGGAATGTTATGAATTACATGTACGCAACGTGAAGTTGAGTCATTAATTTTCAGATAATGATTGTAGAAGGAAGATAAACCAAAATATGTGTGTAAAAATAAAAAAAAAATTTACCTTGTTTTATAAAGTATCCTCCCGACAAGTATTTCAGTGCGGGCCTGTATTTGATCGTGAGGTCTTGGAGCACCGGCATGCCGTCCATATGTGAGGTCTTAAGTCAAATGATTCACGAACCCGTTGTACTACATTAACAAAGGCACGAGGGGTTGGTTGCACTCGATTGGGAAACCGATCCGCATAAACATGTGCCATTTTTTATTTCGTTTGAGCCACGCAACAGACACCACTATCCACTACCGACTGACACTGACTGTATACAACTGAATGAAATAATTGTAAAAACATCGTTCCAAATTCTTTCGCTTTTTTGTTTCCGATGCGATGAACCGATAAGGCGAATTATATCCGTTGTCGCCAAACACGAGCACATAATATTATTATTGAGACAGGGCGGTACTCAAACTTCTAAAGGGCTATAACTTTGTTACTTTAATTTTACCACAAAAATGTTAAAGGAAAAAAACATTTCTTTTGATCAGATCTACTCACTGTTAAACTAAATGACTCAACTTCGAAGTCACCCTGTATATAATGTTAAGACCTGTCTATTCCTGTTTATTATATGCGAGCTGTATGTTTAGAGAGCATATTGCGTTTATCAGTAGACTAATAACAGCCGAGTCAGTTACGTTTCCTGTGTTGAAGAGTACCGAGATGATCTGAGTACTGTTAATTAACGGTTTTTTGTTTTTAGTTTATTGTGATCGAGACTAGCTCTATGGGCAATGGCTAGAAATTGTGTAAATAGTGCGAACAGTTTTTGTAATGTGTGCGGAGAGCTAAGTTTTAAATCCCAAAAACGTACTTTTGTTGCCCTTGTGTTGAAAGCATACGAACTTTATTTTGGAATTAAAGTTGGCGACCAAGATAAACTATGAGCCCCTCATAAGTAAGACTTGTGTAACGTTGTTAACAGGTTGCTTAAGAGGCGACAGTGGTAAAATGCCCTTTGCGGTACTAACGGTTTGGAGAGAACCGAGAGACCATACTGCTGATTGCTATTTTTGCCTTACAAATATTACAGGTATTGGACCAAAACCGAAACATACTGTTAAGTATTTTAATTTACCATTAGCTTTGCGGCCCGTTAAGCATAGTGATGAACTTTCGTTCCCAGTTCCACCAGAATCTTGGTCTTTGGATGAAAAAGTCGAATCCATCGATTCTGAAAGTGATGGTACAGAAAGCGTAAAAATTTCCGATCCTTCGTTCGACCTGACAGGATGTTTAACAGCGCCGCATTTGATTACACCAGACTTAGTTCGGGAATAAAATCTGACAAAATCCCAGTCACAACTTTTAGCGGCAAGATTAAAAGGATGGAGTGTCAATTTGCATGCTGATTATTACTGGACATTGTTAAGACATACTTCAGGAGCAACATTTCGCCGTGAAACATCGACAACAACATTCTAAGAATAATGTTTATTCGTGTGTTTGTTAGTACTCTTACACACATATCCTTATATGGGGTTGTCCAAAACGGATGCAGGAAAGTAAACGCATATTAAAATAAGAAAGATTGATATTCAAATCAAGTTGGGTACTTTATTTTGAAGGTTCATTTATACCATTTATGTATGAAAAATAATATCGCTCAAATGTTCACCACGACTGGATTTACAGACGTCCACGCGATGGTCGAAATTTTCAATGACATTTTGCAACATGGTCTATGGCATTTATCTCGGCAATGATGTTGTTTTTGAGTTCTTGGAGGGTGACTGGTTTGTCGACGTAGACTTTGCTTTTCAAATATCCCCGTAAAAAGAAGTCCAAGGGAGTCAAATCGCACGATCTTGGTGGCCATGGCACATTTCCTCTGCGCGAAATCACGCGATCACCGAAGAAGGACTGCAATCGATGGATATTGACGTTGGTTGTGTGGCATGTTGCACCGTCTTGTTGGAAATAAACATCGTCCATATTCATTCCTTCAAGTTGCGGCAAAAAATAGTCCTCTATCATCACGTGATATCGCTCAGAATTGACGGTAACGGCGTCCCCGGCCGCATTTTCGAAAAAGTAAGGTGCGATGATGCCTTTTGACCACAATGCACACCACACAGTCACTTTTTGAGGATGCTTCGGCTGCTCTTGATACTCACGGGGATTTTCGTTCGCCCAGATGCGGCAGTTTTGCTTGTTTACCGTCCAATTCAAAGTGAAATGCGCTTCGTCGCTGAACATGATTTTTGATGAAAAATTGGCATCAATTTGGCGGTGTTCAAGGATCCAATCTGAGAACGTTCGGCGCGGAAAATGGTCGGCCCGACGCAGCTCTTGCGTCAATTGGATCTTGTAGGCATGTACATTCAAATCCTTGTGGAGAATGTGGAGCAAACTGGTTCTCGAAATGCCCAATTCTTGGGATCGACGCGTTGTTGATTGTTTCGGATCGTCTCTCACACTCTCCTTCACAACAGCAATGTTTTCCGGTGTGCGAACGCTCCTTGGCCGGCCAGAGCCTGGCAGATTTGCCACAGAACCTGTTGCCTCGAATTTACACACCAGACGACCGATGGTTGTTTCGTTTGGGCGGTTGTTGCGACCGAAACGTTCACGAAGCGCGCGAAACGTGCTTTTTATTTTTGCACCATTTTTGTAGTGCTCTTGAATAACTTTAATGCGGTCTTCAATCGAATACGACTCCATAGCGATCAATGGTAAACATTCATCTAACAACATGACATGTCGGTGACAGAAAACAAAGATGGCGTCTATGTCAAATTGACGTTTACTTTCCTGCGTCCCTATTGTACAACACTTTATTTTACGAGTATAAGCCGCAAATAAAATGCCAAGAAAACTGTGGGTGATAGTAAAAATTGAATGCTATTTGGGTACGTTTTACATAATAACCACCTTGTTTTGTCCATGTCACAAAAAATTATTTTAATTCTGTTCACCAGTGCAATAGTGTAGGTAATACGTGCGGAAGCATAACGTCCTTTTTTAAGATAGAAATTGTGCAGGAACTTTCTGAACGTAACGTGTGAGCGTTCCTGAGGACGCTATTGTTTTTTGGTGATGAAGACCATTTTCATTCGTGTGGGTCCGTCAACAGACACCAATCCTCGAGAATTTCATGAAAGGCCTTTGCATTGACCTAATGTCACAATGTGGTGTGCAATTTCCTTAGCTTCAATCACTGGTCGCTGGTTCTTTGAGGCAAGTGAAGTCGCAGTGACAGTGAGTTTGGATCGGTATGTAAACACCTTACGCGAAACTTTTTCCACGGCTGGATGAGTTGGACTTTGGGGATATTTGGTTTCAACAAGACCGCAAGAGCACCGGTGATTGTTTTGTGAGGGAACACTTCTCCTCACTTAGGGGCGATTTGAAGTGGTGGGACCACTCTTCCGATTTGACTCCTTGTGGTCTTTTGAGATCCCGTATTTATGTGAACCGTCCAGGGACGCTTCAAGATTTGAAGACCAACATCCAGGAAAATATTGCCATGATTCTAGCCTACTATGCTGGTTAGAGTCATGACAAATGGTAGACATCGTTTTTTTTTATACTCCAACTACCACGAAGGCCTAAACACCCATTGGCTACCGTGGAGCTATAGGGGGTACGCCACACGGACTCTGGCGAGATCTGCCGGGTGGTACCTCCTCGTTCGACAGTCAGAGACCGTCTACCACCTACGGACAATCACAACATCCATAGCCAAGAGAAAAATGTCTCCTTCTCAGCTTATGAAGAATGGGGACGTCACCTATCTGATTTGATCTTCAAAACTATGTAAAACAAAACTTTAGGCATGCGCCTGCACTATAAAGAAGAAAATGAAAACGTTCTGATCCATACAATGGGGTTTATTAAGTTTTGAAGAAAGGAAGTTATGCTGTAGTTTTGACAAAAGTTGCTGCAACTTACCAGGAATGAACAGAGTACATAGAATGAAATAAAAAATGGGTATGCTACGTCCGACCCACAAGTGGTTCCTTCTTCTTTCTTCAGTTTTCTGTGACATTTTGCTGCTGGCGTATCGGCACAGTCCATCATGATTTCTTGCCAGGCTTCACCTGAAATTTTTCAGTAAGAATTTTATCATCAAGATTCTCACAAAAGCTAATACTGGCCAACCGGATCGAGTACATTTGCGTTGAGGGAAGCTATGTTTTCTCTTAATCAAACAGCAACAGCAACTATGCCACAAATTAATTCAGGGAAAAATTCAAACTTGCAAATCTATGTACTTCTATGTGACCTATCGAGCCATTTATTTGGACATTTTTGGAAATATTATTGAGAAAATGTTTAATTCTCTTTTAGGTTTAACCTAAAGGCTTATACAGGGTTTTAAAAAAATCATAAAATAGTTAATTTTTACTCGAAAACAAATTTATTGATGGAATCAGGTTCACAAGGAAATAGCATTTGAGACAGTCAAGTGTGGAAAATCACATCAGGCATGTGGTGGCCGAAATCGTTGATGCAGAGCTGGAGGCGTGCTTGGAAGTTCGCGTAGACTCTCTCCAACATCGCTCTCTCAACTTGGGCGACTTCCACGCGAATTTCGCCCTTTAATTCGTCCAGAGCTCGGGGCTTGTTTGCGTATACTCTAGCCTTCGCCTTCGCTTTACACTCGGTATATATTTGTAAGACATAAAAGCATAAAAAGTACATGCATAAGGCTAGCCTAACGTTTGTACAGGGTGGGCCAACTGAGAATGCGAGGTACTGTATCTGGGAAGTTAAACATCGTAGAGGCTTGTTACTACTAAAACGACCAAGAGAAAAACCTGGCAAATGTTTTCAAGTTGCTGAAATGGCCATCAGAGGGCGTAACTGCAACTTTGAATCTAAAAAAGAAGCTAACCTAACAAAAAAATACCTGACCTTTAATATGAACATTTTTCGTTCGACAATTGTTGCTGTATCTCTAAAAATTAAGTGGCGGGGGTATTCAAAAGATTCCGTAAAAGACGTGTAATGTTTCTGCAATTATTATTTATTCGTCAGAATAAAATCACCCGTTTCGAAAATATTACAAAATGTCGCTAAAGGATAAGTAAGTAATGCTAATAACAAAAGGAATATTTTTTGTTTAAATGCGTATTCACTATGGGTATACAATGTGTCCCAGCAAGGGTTAAACGGGGAAAGTTTTAGTAGAAACTTGGTGCTTTCGACAGAGCCGGCTTCAGATTTACGATTGGTCAATTGGTTCTGAAAATATCAGCGAAAAACAGAAAATGACGGAATTCATTTTTTGCTAGTAAATCCAAAACTGTTAATTTGACAGCTGTCAAAATGAGACATAATTAGGACATTTTTCTAAGAAATGTATAACATGTCTCGATCGTCTTTTGTTTTCTAGCACCGGCCTCAACTTTAATTTTTCTTATGGCCGCCATATTGGATTTTTTTGATTTTTGAAAATAGCGTAAAATTTCCAGTCTAGTGATGTCTCACAAGTGCATAAAATATTCCGAAATATCACACGTAATGCTATATATTAGTTTTTTTTCTAAGGAGGCCATGATTTATTTGTCAGAAAATAACATTAATGAGTAAACCATAAAAAACACAAACGCCTTTGAATTTTCAATAGAATATTGACGTTAATATCGACTTCCCAGCAAATCAAATGTTTTGTGACAAATTCCCAACCGAGTGTGCTAAAAAAAATCGATTTAATAGAAAAAAACATATTTTTTATTTTTTCTAAAAAGATCGTGTTTTTTGCAACACTTGATAGGTGCAAAAGATTTCAACCTCGAAATAAAAATCGACGACTCCAAGCGAATTGTTTCCAGTGCACTTATCGCCAGAAAGAATTAGTCACACCGAAATGGTTGATTTGTAACCAATACGATTATTGTTCGCAAAATATAGCTGCAAAATGCAAATAAATGAGAAACATACTAACTCCACCAATACAAATCGCAGAGTTTATTTCTGCCCACTTCTCTCGCAAAACAGAAAAAACTCGTTGGAACGCTCTTATCAGTAAACAGAAATATTCCCACAAAAACGTTTGACCATGATTGGTCAACCAATACGATTATCGTCTGTAGAATATTCTACGGACGCTCTGCTAGGTGTATGGCTTGTAGGCGTGTCTTTGCTGGTTTTTTATCTCTCACAGGATATCATTGGTTATTTAGAATTCCCTTTGCTGGATATCATGTAGGAAACGTTGCGATGGGATTTTCAAAATACGCTGACAGTGGATTTTGGTACTTGTCGGACAGTTGATTATTAATTAGTATGTGCACAAATTTTTTCTTCTTTATGTATTGTGGTTCATACGTGATGCTGAGAGACTGGACATACATGGTGACTTCGAAGTTGTGTCATTTATTTTAACAGTGAGTAGATCTGATCAAAAGGAATGTTTTTTTCCTTTAACATTTTTCTGGTAAAATTAAAGTAACAAAGTTATAGCCCTTTAGAAGTTTGAGTACCGCCCTGTCTCAATAATAATATTATGTGCTCGTGTTTGGCAACAACGGATATAATCCGCCTTATCGGTTCATCGCATCGGAAACAAAAAAGCGAAAGAATTTGAAACGCTTATCACGATGTTTTTACTACAATTTTATTCAGTTGTATTCAGTCAATGTGTCAGTCGGTAACGCGTGAGTGAATAGTGGTGTTTGTTGCGTGGCCCAAACGAAATAAAAAATGGCACATGTTTACGAAAATGCTGAACTTGTGGACATGATTCTTATTTACGGGGGGGGGAGTCTTTACAAAATGCAGCCGCGGCATCACGGATTTATGCGGATCGGTTTCCCAATCGAGTGCAACCCACCCCTCGTGCCTTTGTTAATGTAGTACAAAGGGCTCGTGAATCAGGTGACTTAAGACCTCACAGGGGAGGGCATGCCGGTGCTCCAAGACCGCACGATCAAATACAGGTCCGCACTGAAATACTTTATAAAACAAGGTAACATTTTTTTTTCATTTTTACACACATATTTTGGTTTATCTTCCTTCTACAATCATTATCTGAAAATTAATGACTCAACTTCAAAGTCACCCTGTATATTCACATCCGTATATTCTCAATTCCAAAATGTGTACGCTCAAAATAAAACAATTATTTGGGCGTAGAGAATTAATGAACGCATATTTTCAACATGAATCTTAATTCAAGGAACGATGTAACGATGCAACGCGGCAGACTGTCTCGTCAGCATTCTAGACAACGCGGTGATGAGCTTTGCTTTCCATCCGGCTTCTGGGTGACTGCAAGTACAGCGCTAACATGTCAAACTCTTCTTCATTTGAGTAGGGAATTCAGGCAATTTTCAACAGGTTTTGACAATTTTTTTTATGATTTTAATGAGAGAAAACGTACCTACTATTTATTAAAACACAATTTTGATACTTTGATTATTGAACGTCAAAGTCAGAGCCTCCTTAGATGAAAAAAATACGCTATACTTATTAATTTTATTTTCTGACAAATAAATCATATCCTCCTTAGAAAAAAAAATTATACATAACATTGTGTGATGATATTTGGATGATTCTCCAACCTTTTATGCACTTGTGAGACATCACTAGGCTGGAAATTTTACGCTCTTTTCAAAAATCCAATATGGCGACATTTTCGGTTTTTTCGCCGAAATTTCCAAAGCCAATTGACTGATCGTAAATCTGCCGGCTATCGGATGCACGAAGTTTCCTCTAAGACATTCCCTATTTAACCTTTGATGTAGGTATAACGGGAGCCGAGATCCCTGTATAGAGAAGCGAATCTGGGACACACTGTATACGATGAAGACAATAGAAGCAGGCCATGGAATAAAACAAAACACATACCTAATCAAAAAATAAAAATCTTCATATTGTCAATAGTTGCGCGCTACTTTGAGCAATTTTTGTGCTAACCAGATGCGTTTTACGAACGATAAAGCTGTTGATATACTTGCAGTTTATTTTAAATGTCTTCAGAATGCGGCAGTAGCAAAAAGAGTTTACGCGACCCGTTTAGTTTCGCGGACGTACCTGTTGCTGATCTGAACAGGACCAAGACAGCTTGGAAGAACGACCCGAAGTTATTATTCCTTGTTATTGAAGAATCTGAATCCAGGTCGTTGTATTCAATCTTGCCGAACATCTGCATTCCAATGACTGCGTAGATAAAGAACAGCATTACTATGAGAAGAGCAACATACGGCAGTGCTTGGAAAGACTTCAAAAATGTCCACAGTAGTGTTCTGATACCCTCCCCTCTGCTCAACAGTTTCACCAACCGCATCACACGAAACAGGCGAAAAAAGTTTCCGGACAGTTGAAACTTTGAACCAGGCTGCAAAGAAAAAAGTCGTTAACATTTCTAAGACAAAGATTATGAATAACAAAAGATAATCGTGGGTATGACCGCAATAAAGGAACATGAGCGGAAATAGAAGGATTTGCAACCCGAGCGACGTACGTTTCTGCTTACTGTCTTCATCAGACCCAAATGGATGTGCGCCGAAAACACCGAAGTGAAAAAATGTGATCTCTAAAAACCTCACAACTGTGCAGTCGAACATTTTTGCTAGAGTGAATTGTTTTCGGTGTCTCGATTTGACCTTGAAATGGCATTGAAGGCCATGATCAAGGTTATATCCAAGGTGATTTTATGACATAATATTTCCCCCTATTTTCAATTCCGATGAGAAAAAGGGGGTTCCAATTGAAAATATCCACTTGACCTTGGAATGACCTTGAAAGTCGTAGTCATTTTTTGCTTCTACAACTTCTGTTTCTAGAATGCACAGTTTTTGAAATATTAAGGTGAGGAGACCCTGTATTGAAGCATGAAACTGTCAATACTTACATTGACATCCTGGTATACAATATCCACAAAGCTTCCCAGGACTATAATGAAGTCAAATACGTTCCAGGCATCGCCAAAGTAGTTCTGAAAATACAAAAACCGTGAGTACTAAAATAAATATCATTTTTTGAGGCGAATTCTTCATTTTTGTAAGTTTTGGAGGAAGTCCAAGAAGGTCTGTATTTCTTAACAACGCTATTTTACTATATTTTGGGCAGTATACCCTTTCAAATTCAAGAGCAAAATAGTTGATGTGATTGGTGTAAATATTTTGAAGAATGCGAGTCTGGGTTTTGAACTTTGGATAAAGCGTAAGAGGTTGTGTTAAGTTTGCTAATACTATGCAAATTGTTTGTTTATGACAAGAGGGTTTGTAGTCATTTTTTACCCTGCATTTAGAGCAAAGTCATATTACCTTTATTCTATGCACAAGTATCATTTAAAATAACATCATACACATTTTTGCAGACAACGTTAGCTACTGCCCAGATACCACAAGCACGTGAAAATGACATTACGAACTGGTAATCAAATGACGGAAAATCACGAGTTGAAACGTAAAAGTAACGTGAAAGTGGTCTTCTAACGTCACATATCGATGACGTCATATGACAGACGTCAATAATATGTCATTTCTGGACCCCTTATCCCTCAGTTTACTAGTTTACATGACGTTTGTCTTTATTTCTCTGCTTGATGACTTGATCTGTACCAGGAAGATTGATTCTGAAAACACAGTACCCGAACATAATTGGACATTTAGTAGACGTCAATACGACGTCGAAATTTGGACCAATCACGTCAGTTGAAGAGTTATCACCAAACTTGAACGTCATTATGTAACTTAAATATAGCACAAGTATCATTTAAAATAACATCATACACATTTTTGCAGACAACGTTAGCTACTGCCCAGATACCACAAGCACGTGAAAATGACATTACGAACTGGTAATGAAATGACGGAAAATCACGAGTTGAAACGTAAAAGTAACGTGAAAATGGCCTTCTAACGTCACATATCGATGACGTCATATGGCAGACGTCAATAATACGTCATTTCTGGACCCCTCATCCCTCAGTTTACTAGTTTAGATGACGTTTGTCTTTATTTCTCTGCTTGATGACTTGATCTGTATCAGGAAGATTGATTCTAAAAACACAGTACCCGGACATAATTGGACATTTAGTAGACGTCAATACGACGTCGAAATTTGGACCAATCACGTCAGTTGAAGAGTTATCACCAAACTTGAACGTCATTATGACGTGCCTGTGCTGTGTTAATTATTTATAGAACTGCTTACCTTGACTCGAAAAGCAGCTAGTTTGAAAACAAACTCCATCGCAAAAACCGCTGTGAAAATCATATTGAGCTGTTCCAACACCCTCTCATATACCTTGAACTCATTCTCTTGGTGGTAGAACTTCATCCCTAACGTGATCGTGTTCGTCAGGATAAGGGTGAAAATAGCGTATTCGAATGGTTTTGATGTGACGAACCACCATACTTTATATTGTATCCTGTGTTTGGGTATGTAGCGTCTGATAGGTTTGGCTTTAAGGGCGAACTCGATGCAATTCCTTTGGTTTTTGTCCAGTTCGCAGTTCTTATATTCCTGCTCACCCTCGTTTTGGAATGTAACGATCACGAAACCGACGAATATGTTTACCATAAAAAAAGCTATTATAATTATGTATATTATATAATACGCTGCAACTATAGGGCGGAAGTTATGAATTGGTCCTTTGTTTTCTTCGTTTGAGTCTATCGAAACGTAGAGTAAACCTGGCCAACCTAAAAAGAAAAAAGTATTGAGCAGTGAAGCAGCAAAATTCATAGTCATGGATGCCCGCGGGAGTGTTTCTCAGGGAGGGCAATTCATCGGTAAGAGACAACTTTTTGTGAAAGAGTCTGGAACCTGAAAATCCGTACAATTACGTACAAGCTCATGCTAAATACTATGGTGACTTTGAAGTTGAGTCATTAATTTTCAGATAACGATTGTAGAAGGAAGACAAACCAAAATATGTGTGTAAAAATAAAAAAAAATGTTACCTTGTTTTATAAAGTATCCTCCCGACAAGTATTTCAGTGCGGACCTGTATTTGATCGTGCGGTCTTGGAGCACCGGCATGCCCTCCCCTGTGAGGTCTTAAGTCACCTAATTCACGAGCCCTTTGTACTACATTAACAAAAGCACGAGGGGTTGGTTGCACTCGAGTGGGAAACCGATCCGCATAAATCCGTGATGCCGCGGCAGCATTTTGTAAAGACTCCCCCCCCCCCTCGTAAATAAGAATCATGTCCACAAGTTCAGCATTTTCGTAAACATGTGCCATTTTTATTTCGTTTGAGCCACTCACGCGTTACCGACTGACACATTCACTGAATACAACTGAATAAAATTGTAGTAAAAACATCGTGATAAGCGTTTCAAATTCTTTCGCTTTTTTGTTTCCGATGCGATGAACCGATAAGGCGGATTATATCCGTTGTTGCCAAACACGAGCACATAATATTATTATTGAGACAGGGCGGTAGTCAAACTTCTAAAGGGCTATAACTTTGTTACTTTAATTTTACCACAAAAATGTTAAAGGAAAAAACATTTCTTTTGATCAGATCTACTCACTGTTAAAATAAATGACTCAACTTCGAAGTCACCCTGTATACAAATTTTAGGATACAACTGGATTGCTGGAGGGGGGAGGCGGTCCCACTGGCCCCCCTGCGAGCGCCCATGGGCTTTCGTTGATATTTGAGATCCGCACACGCGTAAGTCTATTCCGAATTGATGATGTTTATACAGGGTGGTAGCGAATAATATTCGTAACTTTAAGAGGTGATTCCTTCATTATTCTAAGCAAAAAAGTTGTCCGAAAATCAATTGTTTCGGAGCAAAAGAATGCTGAACTTATTTCTTTTTAGTCACGAAAATAATTAATTTTGCACCTTAATAATTTAAATTTATATGCCTAATATCCTAAAATATATTAACTGTCTCTAACAAAATAATTTTCTTGCTTATTAAATATAATTTTCTGAAGAACAACAAAATCCCTCACACAACTGGCAACGTCGTACTCCGCCTGCGCTGCATGTATCATCGCGACCAACATCGTGTCGGTAGGCAAAAAAATAAATACTTACAGTACCGAGCAAAAGTGGAGAAACATTTTATTGCTTTAAAGGTTTTATTAAAATATTAAAGTAAACTAAACTCTTATGTTTTATTATAACTTAATGTAAGATGTAATTCAAAGCCAACATGAAAATAAAATTTCTGCTTTAATAAAACTGTGCTAACAATTATTATTAGAAAATACGGCGAGCAAAAATAGAGGAACATAATATACGAAGCAATTGTCGTATACAAAGAAGCTAATACTTGGTTGCATAACCTGTATTTTTGATAACTGCTAGGCATCTTTTTCTCATAGAATCAATTAGGCTACCTATTGTTTCTTTTGGAATAGAATTCTAGGCGACTTCGATTGTTTCATATAGTTCGGCACTATTTTTGAACTTTTCTGGATGTTCAGTCCGAATTTTTTTATCAACTAAATCCCATAGGTTCTCTATGGGGTTAAGGTCTGGACTTAATACTGTGATCTGCAAAAAATGTTTTTATTATTTTCGCTGTGTGTTTGGGGTCGTTGTCAAGGCTGAAACCGCCAGCGTAGAGGCATGTCTTTTCTGCGTAAGGTAGCATAGCATCAGTTAATATTTGCAAGTATTTGTACCAGTCCATAATTCCTTCAATTTTGACGATGTGTCCCATTTGAAGGCCACAAAACCAACCCCATACGTGAACCTTCCCACCTCCGTGTTTGATTGTGCCCAAAGTGAACTTAGCATCAAATCGCTTGTTTTTAGGACGTCTTACCCATAAAATGCCATCGGATGAAAATAAATTAAATTTACTTTCATCAGAAAATAATACAGAATTCCACTTTGTTTCTGACCACCTCAAATGATCGTAAGCAAATTAAAGACGGGCAGTCCGATTTTTCTTGGAGATAAAGGGTTTTTTAGATGGTCTCCTTGCTGGTAAATCACTCTCCCTTAAACGTCTTAGAACAGTGTGGACACCAATATTTACTTAGTTGAGCTTAATTTTTCTATCAATCCTAGGTGTGGTTTTTCGCGGTCTACCAGTCTTAGGAGGGCTCACCAACGATTTTACGATGGCTTTGCAAATTAGCGATCGGCTTAAATTCAGCTGTTTGATTATGGTTGCTTGTTTAATGCCTGCTCGACATTTTAAAATAATCAATTCTTTTATTTGCAAATTCAATGTAATTCCTCTGACCATGTTTTTGAACTACAATTTACCAAATATACTAAAAAATAACACCTATTCTAATCAACGACTAAATATAAACTAAATATTTACAAAACGTGCCTCTATACTCTGGGCGCTGAAGAAAGACATTAAACGTAAACAGTGATCAGCACGTGAACAGATCCCTCGAAAGCATCCACGGATATACTCCAGTCACTTTATGTCTAAACATCTTCGGCAGTGTATTTCTAGTGGATCCACAGACCCTTTTTCGTGTCATCTTGAGACTAGAAAAAGGATGACTGTTAAAATAAGTTACCTTGATCTTTCATGAGCTCCCAGTACAAAACATCATCGATATATTTTTGATGTAGGAACAACAAATTGGTTTAGAAAACATCCACTTTGAACCTAAATTGACTGGAGTAACATCGATCTACAGACAAATTCAAGGTCACTAGCAGTCGTCGGCGCTCTACGAATCTGCACAGGTTTGGACTTGGACGCGAGTGGAACGTTTTGTTTATATATTGCCTAAGATACGATGTCTGACACAGATACAGCCGACGAAGTGGTTGACATCAGCGCAACCCCACCCAAAAAAAGGGCTAAGAAGCTACATTTAAGTGCAAATGAAAAACAAATAATATTAAATACATACAAAAACCAAATTCAAGAAAAACCCGATTTGGTCGTGGACGAAGTTATATGTAAGGTAGCACATATTTCTGGAGTATGTCGGTCCAGTGTTTATAGGATCATTAAGGAATATAGGAGCACTCACTCACTTTCTGAGCCAAAACCGTATCCTGCAAGAAAAAGGATAACGGACGGAGTAGATGACTTTGACAGAACTGCCATCAGGAGGAAAGTGCATAATTTTTTTTCCGAAATGAGATACCTACAGTAGATAAGATATTAAGATTAGTTAATGCTGATGAGGATCTTCCATCATTTAAAAGAACCACATTCCGAAAACTTTTGAAGGAACTTAATTTTCGATTCTTGGAACGGGGAAGAAACAGTATGTTAATAGAGAAAGAAGAAATTGTTGTGTGGAGAAGGGAATATCTTAGGAAGATTCGGAAGTTTCGCGATGAAAAAAGAAAAATTTACTATTTGGACGAAACGTGGGTGAATGTTGGACATACTCAAGCGAAAGTTTGGGTCGACAAATCAGTAACATCATCAAGGCAGGCTTTTCTAGACGGTCTTTCGGCTGGATTGAAAAATCCTGCAGGTAAGCTCCTTCATCTATCCGGCAATTTAATTTTGATAAATTCGGGCAAATAATATGCTGTGATAGCAGATAATGTGTGATATTCTCCAAAAATGGTGCATTCGCAGTGTAGTCATTAGGAAAAAACTTCGACCCTCTTTTAAGCGTTATTTTGAAATTTATTATCATTTTTGGGTGCAGTCAATTTGCTTTGAATGGGTTTTGAGAAGTTGCAAACTTCAATTTTCTACGTTTTTCAGTTTTTGATCAGCATTCCGTGACTCTTAAATTCAACTAAATGAACTCAATTGCCTCATTCCTTCAAATTTAATCAATCCATAGTGTAAGGAATAATTTATTTCCAGGAAAAGGCAAACGGCTGATCATTTGTCACGTAGGTAGTGAAGACGGCTTTGTTCCCGAAGCACTGTGGGCCTTTGAATCAAAAAAGACAGGGGACTATCATGAGGAGATGGACGGCAATTCCTTTGAAAATTGGTTCTCCAAAATGTTACTAAAGCTGGAGAATAACGCTGTTATTGTACTGGATAATGCCCCGTACCATTCTAGAAAAATAGAAAAAATTCCCACAATGGCAACTAAAAAAGCAAACATACAGCAATGGCTGGCCTCAAAACAGATCGATTTTGATGAAACAATGGTCAAGGGTGAATTGATAAGTATAGTCAATAGACATAAATACAAATACGATTTTAAAATGATCGACGAAATGGCCAAAAAACAAAATAAAACTGTCTTGAGACTGCCACCCTACCATTGTGAGCTGAACCCTATTGAGCTGATTTGGGCCAACATAAAGCAATACGTGGCGTCGAATAATAATACTTATAATTTTCTGATGTTAAAAATCTCTTTCACATCGCAGTCAATAGAGTTACGACAGAGGAATGGAAAAACTGTATCCGCCACGTTCGGGAGAAGGTTGAGGTCAAAATGTGGGATTTGGACAATGTCATCGATACCCAAATTGAACCTCTAATAATTCATTTAAACGATTCAGAAGATTCAAGTTCCTCTTCTGAATGAGTGCGCGCAGCTTACTTACTAATAACTAAAAAGTGTAGTTAACTCATTTGTGAATCTCTAACTGAAATTTACTGTAAAAGATAATAATTATCTTGTATGAAATTTTTGATGACTACCCATAATATCTTGATGCGGTCCTGTAATGTCTCCTGCGCCTAAACACTCACTCACGAGCAATATGCGTGTATTTGTTTGGGTTTAGTTTCTTTCTTCAGCGCCTAGAGTATAGTTTTGCTCGTTGAACAAAAAACCGACCATATTATATTGAAAAAAAAGAATACACACAAAGATAAGCATTTCATTATCTTGAGGTAGTCGTACATAAAAAACTTTAGTGTACAGTTTTGGGTTAGAGTTAATCTTTCTGGATTTTTATTTGTAATGTGGTTTGTTTCTCTACTTTTGCTCGGTACCGTACATCGAGAAAAAATTATTTGATAGTTTCTTGCATACGTTAATACAAGTAATGTTTGCTGGAATTGAAATCACATTTTATTATTCAGTATGTATTACTGTATCGGCACGTGCATTTTGATACGGAAGAGATATTTTCGGTACGCGAGTATCATGATATTTACGGAAAGGCTCATTGCAATTGTGAAGAGCCTAAGCGCATTTACGAAGAACGTTTTCCTTACCGAAGGCTACCGGCTAGAAGAACATTCGTAGAAGTATCCCAAAGACTTCTGGACACAGGGGAGCCTAGTGCCTAATTTTAACAATCGCGGAAGACACCGTGATGTTGGAGTGGAAACCGAAGAACATTTATTGTGATTAATAATACATTTAACTGTAACTTTATGTGATTTACGGATGTTTTTTTTCTCTTTTCGTGCAATGCGTCGTTTCAAATAACTGACTGATAATCGTGGGAATTGGTGGTGTGTATCGCTACGTACCGGTAAGTTCTGTAATTTTTTTAAGTAAATGTACTGTACAAAAAACTGCGTAAAAGTATTCAATAACTCAAGGCATATTTTCAACAAAAATATCATACAAACGTAAATAATTCGATGAATCAGTTGCGGTCGTCGTACGCTCGTATCGCGGTTGCGCTGCAGCGTTGCCAAATGTTTGAGAAAATTTAATTATTTACGACTCACTTTCCTCGAAAACGATAAATTTTCGGACATAAGTTATATATATATTTTCCAGTACATAAGATATACCAACCTATGATATGCCAATCTGGCTGCGAAAACCGTGTTTTGATATTGTTTATAATTTTTCTATAAAACTACCCCGCTTTCGCTAGGACATGCTGTATTTAGCCTTTTAATACTCTCATTATACAAACCTTCAAAGGTAGACACAGTGAACAGGGTCAACATAGCCTTTGCTACGTTGTCGAAATGAAATCTGTTACCCTCCCAGTTTCGGTTCTTCTGTTCTGGCTTGTTTATATCACCATCGACGTACACCAAATATGTTCCGCTAGAATTTCAAGAGTATAAAATTATTTTTAATTTTCAAAACACGAAGTAAAAATTCAAGTGGTGATTTATGGATTATTTTCGAAATACCGTTTTGTTTGGGCAGGTCCCTGAAGGACGACCTTGGAAAACGGATTTCCTTTAATTAATCAATTTGAAACATTTATCTTATATAGCTTATATTACATATGATTCCTTTGGATTACTAGGTGATGTTCTTTTTTCTTTTTTTAGTTACTGTAGCGTGTGTTGCGACGACAGAATCCATTGCTATTACAATATTCAACACACAAACACAACCAAAAAGCTCATAGCGTCAAAATCTTTTTACATATACAGGGTGTTTCAGTTTATTGTTGCATAACTTTAAGATTCGATAGAACTTTTAAAAATAATGCATAAAGTCTATATAAACATGGGTCGAAAAATGCGTGGCCGAAATACAGGGTGTTTAAAATTACTTTCTAAAATAGTTTTTTTTAAATATTTCGAACAATATTTGATGTATAACAGTGAAAATTGGTATACAAGGGTTTTTTGGTACGACAAAACGAACCATGGGCATAGTTTTACTGTAGCCGCTAGAGGGCGCTCTCTAGTGTACCTGTAGTGTATTAAAATGACCGAAAATTTTTCTTAGTGCAATTTTTTGCTTTTTGAATAAAAAGAAATATTCTTCGCACTTTTCAACATAAAAAAGCTCTCTTGTGAATTTTCGTTATAGTTAGCCGTTTTTGAGATATTTCGATTTCTAAGGTTTGATGCATTTTTAATTATTTATTAAAATAACGTTAAAAAGTCAGTATCTCGATAATTTTTAGAAGTAGGCTGTGCCTGCAAATATTTTTGAAATTGAAAGCAGAATAAGGTTAAACGTCAGTTAGTTGGCATTTAGTTTTGTTGTCTGTTGAAACCTGAAAGGTTTTTTGCAATTGTGAATGCACGATATTTAATTCTTTTGCCTGTTTTTTTTTGTAAGTTTTATAAAAATGCCATTTTTATTGTCCAATCAAGAGTTAGCGGATATTCATTTTGTGTATGGCTTTGTATTTGGAAACGCAGCAGAAGCAGCCAGAGAATACGCACGAAGATTTCCAAACAGACGACATCCAACTCGCTCAGTATTTGCAAGAGTGCATCGCCAAATAATTGAAAATGGTTTTGGAAATCTCCAAAGGGATCAAAACATAAATGTTCGTCAGCGCAGATTTACCCGTATGATTCTGCGTGAGTTTGATAGAGATCCGACCACAAGTGTTAGGAGAGTTTCTGGTGCCTTGGGAATTTCAGCAAGCCATGTTCACCGTGTTCGTAGAAATGACCATAGACGTCCTTACCATTTGCAACCTGTGCAAGGACTACAGCCAGGGGATGGAGAACGGAGAATCACAGTTTGTCAGTGGATTCTTGATAGAACTGATAATAATAGGGAGTTTTCAAGTAACGTTTTATGGACCGATGAGTCATGCTTCACTAGACGTGGAGTGGTAAATTTTCATAATCAACATATTTGGTCGCATGAAAATTCGCATGCAGTTCGGGAAAGAAATTTTCAGCATGAATTTAGTGTGAACGTGTGGATTGGTATCTACCGTAATCGACTATTTGGACCCTACCTTTTGCCTGCAAGGTTAAATGCTGCGACCTTCTTGGAATTTTTAAAGGCTGAACATGCAAATATGTGGGATGATGTTATGTTAGATTTAAGTAGATTGGCCTGGTTCCAGCTTGATGGTTGTCCAGCTCATTATTCGAGAATAGTTAGAAACTGGATGTACGAAAATTATCCAGAAAGATGGATGGGCCGTGGAGGACCAGTCGCCTGGCCTCCACGATCCCCTGACCCAAATCCATTAGATTTCTTTGTGTGGGGATTTCTAAAAGAAAAAGTGTACCAGACTCCCCTAACCACAAGAGATATGCTAATAGACAGAATCAGGAATGCATGTGATGAAATAAGGCCTTATTTGAATAATGCTATACCACGTTCGATCATTCGTAGATGTGAATTGTGTATTGAACAATTGGGTTTACATTTCTAGCAACTACTTTAGATTTTATATGTTTGTCCTAACTATCCAATAGAATTTTAGTTGTAAATAATTAATTTAATTTGTAAAAAATAATATTGGAAAATTAAACAAATTAATATTCTGTTTTTTGTGTTTATTTGGAGTTAGGAATTATTGCTGTGTTTAAAAACACAATCTAAACGATTATCTTAATTACTTGTAATGCCCAAATCTAAAATGTAAAGAAAAATATTATTTTCCCATAAATAATTAAAAATGCATCGAACCTTAAAAATCGAAATAACTCAAAAACGGCTAACTATAACGAAAACTCACAGGAGACCTTTTTTATGTTGGAGAGTGCGAAGAATCAGTTTTTTTATTCAAAAAGCAAAACATTGCACTAAGAAAATTTTTTCGGTCATTTCAATACACGACAGGTACAGTAGAGAGCGCCCTCTAGCGGCTACAGTAAAACTATGCCCATGGTACGTTTTGTCGTACCAAAAAACCCTTGTATACCAATTTTCACTGTTATACATCAAGTATTGTTCGAAATATTTAAAAAAAACTATTTTAGAAAGTAAATTTAAACACCCTGTATTTCGGAGGCCACGCATTTTTCGACCCATGTTTATTTAAACTTTATGCATTATTTTTAAAAGTTCTATCGAATCTTAAAGTTATGCAACAATAAACTGAAACACCCTGACTTAATCTTTTTTTTTAAATAGCCTACATACGTCAAACAAGTATCGGCAAAGCTCTGGTTGTCGCTACAAAATGTTTTTACCGGTTTCTTAGTTCTCAATATTTCCATGTTCGAAAAGCGAACTTTGTTATTCTCGATTCGGAGAACAACAATGGGAAGGAAGTCTTTCAGACATTTGATGTGTTTGTTTAGTGTCAATCCTTATCATTTTATCTACACCATTAAGACAGGAAAAAGGAACCCTTCATCTGTGCTACGTCATAAAATTGTTGAACAATGATTATCCCATCTTGTAGGTAATAAAAATTTTGGCAAATTTGATGTTCCCAATAGTGCAGGTCGAATCTAAAACACCCGATACAGTTTCCCCGAGTACTAAAAAGCGCTTAGGGTTGCCCAAACCTCTTTTAATAGGCTGCACTGGTGCTTTTCAGTGTATTAATCCTATAGAACTTGCCACAGATGACATTTTTTCTTTTTCGCGACAGTCTAAATTAACGCTAGACTGAAAAGTTCCTCTAAACCCAAAGTTTTCAGGGTAGATAAATCTTTATAACCCTCTTCCAGTCATAGCTAATTGAATCATATTTATCTCTGGTTAATAGAGATGGCGGATCTAAAATTAATAGAATGGTAATATCGCAGATTAAAAGTCAATTTCCGAGATTACCGCCAAAAGGCACATCCGCGATATCAGAATCGATGTATAAAATATACCCTGGAGCATCCAAGTTTACAATGTCAAGAATATTTTTCGCTTTACACGACCCTTGAGCGAAGAAGATAGTATAGTTTATTAGTTACGTCGTATTTAGCAAATCTGAATCCAAGCTTAGTGCAAAATATCTCTTTACTTTACTTCCGGAGACAGAAAAAAACGAATTTACCCAGAATTTGAAAATAAATTGCACATCAACATTGCCACTTTTTCTCTTCTACAAGATGGTACAGTTAGAATTTAAATACGGTGTTTCGTCTCTTGTACTCCAGCATCAACTTCATTTTTTATTATGGACTTTTGACAGATGAATCGAGTTTTTAATTTCCATTCTAAAAATATACAGGGTGGCGCATCGAAAACGAAACGGACGCATTTACTGGCAGCTCAGTTTTTTTTTTGGAAAAACGCTCAGACCCGTCGATTTTGTTTTCGAGGGGGACACAAGTTTGGCAACAAATCACGTTAACACGTGCAGCCCCCTGGGCGGGGGGACATCAACCCTAAAATCTTAAATGGAAAGGGGGGGGTCGAGTGATACCTTATTTTAAAGGTCTTTCAATTCCCTTTATAATGATATAAAATTAATGTACTTCAGTTCAGTAGTTTTGAAGATTTATTGATTTAAAGCTTAAAGTAGACTTTAATAGGTACATCAGATTAGTTTGTACTACTTTCAGAAGAAATTTGACTAAAAGAATTTACTTACAAGAAGTTATTTCTTGAAGAAAGATAAGGAAATATCTCGTACTTATTTTAAATAGGAATTTAGTAAATAGTTTGCGATTAAAACTTTGTTGCTAAAATAACTTGTATCGCTTTATTTCATAAATTAACCATGGTATATTCCACACATTGCGAATAGGTTGATATTGCAACAGGATGGTGCCCCACCACATTACGCATTACGTGTTCGACAATATTTAGATCAGACGTTTCCAGATCGATGGATTGGTAGTAGAGGTGCTATTGAATGGCCCCCAAGATCGCCAGATTTATTACCTGTGGATTTCTTTATGTGTGGTCATTTAAAAAGCAAAATCTATGCCACTCAGCCAACATCATTAGAAGACCTGCGACAAAGAATTGTGAATGAGTGCCTTCAAATTACTCCTCAAATATTGCAAAATGTGCGGCAACGTGTTGAGCAAATTCTTTATTATTGCATGGAGAGTCATGGTGACCATTTTCAACATTTACTTGCCTAACGGGTCAGTTCATTCTTCATTTTTAAATTACTTTGCTGCCAAATGTATTGATCTCCACTAATGATGATGTATCAGTTTTATTTAAGCTTTAAATCAATAAATCTTCAAAACTACTGAACTGAAGCTCATGTATTTTACATCATTATAAAGGGAATTGAAAGACCTTTAAAATAAGGTATCACTCGACCCCCCTTTCCATTTTTGCCAAACTTGTGACCTCCTCGAAAACAAAATCGACGTGTCTGAGCGTTTTTCCAAAAAAAAAAATGAGCTGACAGTAAATGCGTCTGTTTCGTTTTCGATGCGCCACCCTGTATATCAAATACAGTAAAGGGCCTAAGACAGAGCCCTGAGGGACACCTGAAGAAACGGCAAAAGACGATGGGACATCTCTAACTGTCTTCACCTTTTGTTTACGATTAGTTAAGTAATTTTCAAAAAATTTAAGCGGAATGTCAAAAAGTCCAATATACTTTAACTTACTCAACAAAATTTTATGGTTAACAGTGTCGAACGCCGTAGAGAAGTCGACCATAACTAAAACTGTAATAATATGTTTATCCATATCACTTGTTCATGGCAAGATAAACCGGTATGTAAAAAATTCTTGAAATCTAATAAACATGCGTAGGTGTTTACCTTTTTTGTCACTCTATAGTTAATTGTTTCCCAAAATTCTTTTAGTTTCCGAGGATTTTGGTTATAGAAGCAAATGCTTGTTGATTCAGGTTTGTCTCTATGGCAAATACTATAGAATATCCGTTGCTTCTGATATAAATGTAATTTTAGTACCGAATGTTCAATCATCTCTTACAGACACACAGGCACAGACAAACCTGACCATTTTATCACATTTTGTTCATGACAAGATGAATCGATATGTAAAAAATTCTTGAATTCTAATAAAAATACGTATGTGTTCACTTTTTCTTGTCACTCAGTATATTTGAACAGTTTTAATCAAAAAGATACATAGCTTGCTATTTTCAAACAATAGCTTATCATCTTTCAATCAACCTGGTTCCAGAAAACTCGGTTTATTTAAACAAATTATTTGTATTACTCGAAACATTCATTACGGTTAATCAAAATTTTCCAGAAAGCTTGTTTAACTAAACATGTTGAGTATACAAAACAAGTTATTTTTTCTAGGTGTGGGATCTTTTTATTTACGGTCATGAATCATTGTAAGCTTCGTCGACACTTTTTTTTTATGAAATTTTATTTGGTACTTACGTGCACTCCTCTGCAGTTAACTTGGAATGGTCGGTACATTTGGAGAATTTTCCCTACATAAAAGAGAAAAACATTATTTCATTGAATAGTGTTCATAAGACGTTCTACAAATAATATCATGCAAAATACACCGCAACAGAACAATTAGTAGGCATAGCAAAGTATTGCAGCTTTCATGCAAAACTGAATCAAAACCATAATCACTTGTAGTCATAACTAGTAAATATTGTAAAAGCAAAAATATCAATAAAATATGCGTACTAGATACTGATGTAGTGTTTGCATTGGCTCTTCTTAAATGTGCGCAAAATGTCATAAACTACGAGGGATGTCTTAACTTTTGCATATAAAATCATAGTAGGCCGCGCGGATTGAACGTCAGTACTGAATCTTAACCTCACTCTTTAGTTAACTTAAATTCAATGTTTCACAACGATGCGTGCAGTGTTCTCATTACAGTGAATTTTTAAGTCATTAGAAAAATGGAACTCAACTCGTTACTTTCCCCAAAATTAAAAACAAAGGTTCCAGTCACCAGAAGAAGCAGTTGACGCATTCAAAAATGGCGTTTTGGATCTGCCAGCAAACGAGTGGAATAAGTGCTTCAAAAATGGTTCGAGCTCATGCAGATGTGTGTTAATCTTCGTGGAGAATGCTTCGAAAAACAATAAAGTCATTTAAAACTACCTACCGTGTCGTCTTAATTCCATATGCAAAACTTAAAAGACATCCCTCGTATATATACTTGTGGTGTGTAATATCGAAACATTGCGTGTTTGCCAAATTTTTATGGCGTTCGCGTACTTCAGACATGACAGTAAATCATACTGATCATGTTTGAAAATGCACTGTAATGTAGAATTTCGATTTCTACAAAAATCTACTGTCAAAGTGGCAGTTGCTATTCCAATTCACAAATTTGACCTCCTCATTTCTGAGGTCATCGAAAAATTGCTTTTTATAAGATACTGAAACCTTTGTTAGAAGATATTTTCGAAGAAAATGAGTTGTTGCGTCCTGTTTGGGGTGTTCGCTATATATAGGGATGTCCAATAGGGACGCAGGAAAGTAAACGTCAATTTGACATAGACGCCATCTTTGTTTTCTGTCACCAACATGTCATTTTGTTAGTTGAATGTTTATCATTGATCGCTATGGAGTCGTATTCGATTGAAGACCGCATTAAAGTTATTCAAGAGCACCACAAAAATGGTGCAAAAATAAAAAACACATTTCGCGCGCTTCGTTAACATTTCGGTCTCAACAACCACCCAAACGAAACAACCATCGGTCGTCTAGTGCGTAAATTCGAGGCAACAGGTTCTGTGGCAAATCTGCCAGGCTCTGGCCGGCCAAGGAGCGTTCGCACACCGGAAAATATTGCTGCTGTGAAGGAGAGTGTGAGAGACGATCCGAAACAATCAACAACGCGTCGATCCCAAGAATTGGGAATTTCGAGAACCAGTTTGCTCCGCATTCTCCACAAGGATTTGAATGTATACGCCTACAAGATCGAATTGACGCAAGAGCTGCGTCGGGCCGACCATTGTTCGCGCCGAACGTTCTCAGATTGACTCCTTGAACACCGCCAAATTGATGCCAATTTTTCATCAAAAATCATGTTCAGCGACGAAGCGCATTTCACTTTGAATGGGACGGTAAACAAGCAAAACTGCCGCATCTGGGCGAGTATCAAGAGCAGCCGATGCATCCTCAAAAAGTGACTGTGTGGTGTGCATTGAGGTCAAAAGGCATCATCGGACCTTACGTTTTCGAAAATGCGGCCGGGGACGCCGTTACCGTCAATTCTGAGCGATATCACGTGATTATAGAGGACTATTTTTTGCCGCAACTTGAAGGAATGGATATGGACGATGTTTATTTCCAACAAGACGGTGCAACATGCCACAAAACCAACGTCAGTATCCATCGATTGCAGTCCTTCTTCGGTGATCGCGTGATTTCGCGCAGAGGAAATGTGCCATGGCCACCAAGATCGTGCGATTTGACTCCCTTGGACTTCTTTTTATGGGGATATTTGAAAAGCAAAGTCTACGTCAACAAACCAGCCACCCTCCAAGAACTCAAAAACAACATCATTGCCGAGATAAATGCCATAGAACCGACCATGTTGCAAAATGTTATTGAAAATTTCGACCATCGCGTGGACGTCTGTAAATCCAGTCGTGGTGAACATTTGAGCGATATTATTTTTCATACATAAATGGTATAAATAAACCTTCAAAATAAAGTACCCAATTTGATTTGAATCAATCTTTCTTGTTTTAATATGCGTTGACTTTCCTGCGTCCGTTTTGGTATAAAATATCGGTGACTTCCTATCGATCTAAATACCCTTTTCAATATATCGGAGGAGCAAGAAATTTCTATCCATAAAATGCTTTGCACAATGCATTGGTATCTCCACATTGTCGCCAAAACCTCAAAACCTATTTCAAAATAACTTTAATTTACATACCTACAGCTAAATTCCGCTTGATTATAAAAATATGCTCAAAAGAACAAACCCCCTAAATACTTAGAGTGAGGTTAAGTTCTGAAATTAATTGTGTCGTTTCGTCATTCAGTCATTGAAACAGGAATTGAAACTCCAAATCAGGTTGACAGTCAAACAAAAAAATCTCTTTGGAACTAACTCTAACTCTACGTAAAAGTGTATAAACCAATGAATAATTTAGGTGTAATAAGAGTGCGAAGTGAATTTGTGTGAATAGATACGTGATTCCCAGCAATTCACTCATATAGCTCGAGTACAGAAACAGTATCCTAATTCAAAGGCTCACGTCCAAAAATTTTCTTTGTGATACGTGTGAAATTTTAAGTATTTTAAGATTGTTCCAATATAATTGTTTTATTTCTATTTCTTAAAGATTTAACAAACATGTTTTTCGTAACAAACGAGTTCGTAACATATTCTAAAGTTTTATTAAATTTCCGAATATGACCTATCTTGGTTAGCCAAATCGTTAACCGTTGATAATGTAACCACATGGTCAAATTTAGTTGGCCTCTATGAATCAATCGCCTCACAGGAGTGTGAATCCTCTGATATGCGCATGTTGACATGCAGAATCATAATGACATCCTGAGAGACACTCAGCTTTAGAGCTGTCAGGGGGTGTCCACAGAGAGGGGCGTTATTTCCCCTTTTGTGGTCGCTGCTGGTAGATAATCTGATTGCCATTATTCGCCTGTGGGAGGCTGAGGTTCAAGCATATGCAGACAATCTAGTCGTTCTAGTCGTTCTGGGGAACATATCTCGGGAACACTCTAGAAAGAAATGTCAATAAACCCGCAAAAAATAGTCACATCTTTCACCAGAAAGAGAAAACAGGATGGGATTAAACCTCCAACAATCCAATGTGAAAATGTACCGTTTGCAAAAGAGGCGAAATGTCTAGGAATAATCTTAGATAAAAGACTAAACTGGAATTCGCATCTGGAAGCAGTCCTTAAGAAGGCAAGTACCTCGCTATGAAGCCCAAGCAAATATTTTGGCTTTATACCATGGTTATTAGACCTATGATAACCTATGGACCTGGAGCTTGGTGGGGCAAGGCAGCACAAGAAACTATCCAAGCCAAACTGAGCTCAATACAGAGAGAAGCTTCTATGTTGATCACTGGTGTCTTGCGTACCACACCAACCGCAGCTATGTAGGTCCATCTTAATTTACCCCACTTGCACATATACATGGGAGGCGAGGTAAGAAGGACATCATCTGGCAAATGGTATAATGGAAAATATCACTATGAAGGAGACGGACATGCTGGTGGACTTACAAAACCACCCCAGTCTGAGAATGTCTTCTGATATAATGCCAAAGATAACAATATATGCTAAACCCTACTCAGTGACAATTTCTCACAGGAATGGATGCGAACAGCAAGTTAACCTGATAAGGAAAGATATCTGTGCATACACAGATGGCTCCAAGACTGAGGCTGACACCCTTCATAGCGCCTGAGCCAGCGATTGGGATCGCAGACAATACGGCTAAACAAATAATCTCTGCAAAAATGGACAGAAAGATCTATCAATGCTGGGAGGGATTAGCAGGGTTAACCCATGCTAAGGCAACTATACCAATCTTGACAAAGACGGTAACAGACTCTTTCCTACGGTTGAACAGGAATAGCCTCATAGCCCTAGTAGGACTATATGTCCCCAATGAAGTTGATCGAATTCCTCAAGAGGTCGGAGCTACTGGGCGAAATATAAATAGGTGTGAGCCACAATAGACCAAAGAGTCGCAGTGGAGGATCGTTATTGATGCACTCACAAGAAACCTAACCTAACCTAACCTAGTTGGTCATTTCACGAAATGCTGGATCATTTCGTCAGATGGTCAATTCTACAAGCAAAGTCCACGAAAATCAAAAGTTCGACATTATCAGCCTACCAAGTAAGGTTAAAACTTCAAAAATAGTAGTTTTCAATTCAGTTCTTAGGTGTTGAATGCGCACATTTTTTTAAATTTTTTAATCATTGAATCGCTTCAAGTTCCAAAACATATTTATTTGTTATTTGTTTTAACAAGTGTTCAAACAGATTTGCATATGCCTTTTATCACATATGAGCCATTGAGCACATATGAATTAAGCTACTGTACAACGGTTTGAGGGGTTTGAATTATGGAAAGTAGAAGTACTGGAAACCGTCAAGATGATATGATGATGCAGTTGACTCTATAATTCTTTGTCATCGAAACCATCGCCTTAGCTGAAGCCAAGACGGTGAGGGAAGTAAGCTAGATCTGTAGCTGCATTGCGGCGTTCCCCTGTGCATGCCGCTATAGCAGATATAGTAGTTTTAAGTCCATGAATACACGAAAAGTGGTTTCCTAAATAATTGTACCAGTTTTTCGAACAATTTTTTTGATTAATTGGAATAGCGACGTGGGAGAGGAGCATTTTATATGCCACTAACTTTGTTCGCAAGTGTGTTTCTAAGTAAAAACTCAACAAATCTGGCTAATTACTCAACACGAGCTCCCTTAGGTCTGTTTATGTTGTACATTCCATTTCTCTGGGTGCTTTTTCTTAAATGGGCATAACGGTCAGTTCTAAAATCAAGTAGAGCGCGTTATGAACCCAATTACAGTGCTACTGTGCTATTGGTTGTAGTGGTTTGTTTACCCGAAAGGTGAGCAATCACTTCTACTGTATAATACTTTTATATTTAATTATCGCAAGTGGCACAGCAAATAAAACTACACTTCAACCACATATTCAGCTTTTATTCCGTGAAATTGATAGTTATTTGACAGCTACATATGTGTACTTCTGAGCTCTAATTTTCAAACGCTAGATCTTAGCTATAAAGCTCCTCAGAACAGTAAATTTATATCACAAAGTTAGAGCTGATAATGACGTTCAATGTGTGTGAATAGCCCTTGTCGTAGTTTTGACTAGAAGTTGATTCTACATCAGTTATATTCTGGAGTTAGGTTTCTCTGTGTAGCTAAAGAGACCACCGCACTGACAATCTTCATAGAATGCATCTTAAGAATATCATGCTGAGAAGATTCCATCAGCGAAAAACACATACCGCATACAGTAAGAAACTTGAAAATTTAACGAAAAAATCGCAAGTGCAGTAAAAGCGTGATGCTAAACATAACAGAAAAAAGAACATTAATAACTTGCAGTGAACAGAGGAACAAACTAACACAAATAATCGTTTAAACACGTACACACCAAATTGCATTATATCCGCATAGGAACAATAAGAGTTGTTGCAAATTTTGAATTATCTTTAATCAAAATTTTTGAGATCTTTTGTCTACTATCATGAAGAACACAAAACTGTTGACAACATTGATAAATTTTCTTCAAATGTAACTAACCATGCATTCTTAAATAAATCCATTTCAGATACTGAAGTTATGAAATAATTTTGCAATGAAATTACGCTAGACTCACTAGACACTTCTTACTCTATTTTCTTTATACTCAGGATTGATAGATGCCCCTTAACATTAGTCAAGAGATTAGGCTGTAACCCTCAAACATTTTTCTTAAGATTTTTCGGGTCACTGAACAAGTGACGTTTCTCTTAAGCTAGCCCGTTTTCGAGCTATAAGCAGTTCTAAAATAAAACAAAAACCCTAAACATGGCCATTATCAATGCAAAAACTCGATCAAAATTAAAACAGTCCAACTGCCATTTTGGTGCAGGACAAGTAAGAACTGAATTTGAGCAGCTCTAGTTTTCGAGATATAAGGGGGTTTAATATACAGGGTGTCCGCAGAGTTGGGGTTTTCCTTTTCAGAAACAACTACCCTTGAAATAACAAAGGTAATGTGTAGTGAAACGAGGGCGACCAAGTAAAACAAAATAAAGGAAAAAGTACTCACTCTCCGGTTGACGAGAAGGGCTAAGTACGTCTCTGCCCGAAATCATACCGCTCCAACAGAAAATGAAATCAGCGGATGCGCTACCGAGCAGACGCAGGCAAACAAGGAAGGCAAAATGTTGCGTAAAAAGTCTAGGTATGACATCCCGTCCAATCGATTTGGGAGAATAAATGGTCCAATGAGCATACTGTTCACCATGCCAGCCCAAACATTCACCGAAAATGTTTGTTGCAAATGTGCCCGACGGACAGCGTGCGGATTTTCTACTGACCAAACATGAGTGTTGCGAAAGTTATTCACCCCATTACGCGTGAACGTAGATTCGTCTGTCACCAATATGCACTTCAAAAAGTCCGGATTATTGTCATGTTGATGCAACAACCACTCATAAAACCGCACTCTAGCTGGAAAATCGTCAGGTTGAAGGGCTTGTACACGTTGCACGTGAAACGGATACAGCCCCTCTTCACGCAGCGTTTGCCACACTTTAGTTTTTGATACTTGCACTTCTCTAGCCACGTCTCTAGTGCTTGTTGTTTTTTGAAACGCAATCGATTATACTTGTTCGTTTACCTCTACACGCGTGACCATAACCGGCGGTTGAAGGTTGCATACTGACCTGACACACTGACCCCGACCCAGTTCTGTCGTCGGGTTGAGCTAGTGTCCTAGTACCACTCGGGGATGTCGCGGGTCGCGGCTACAGGACGGTATTCAGATATTTTTGATGTTGCAGAGCCCTTTATCTCGTTTCCCTTAAGACATTGGTGTATATGGTACTAAGAAAAAATGCTTATGTTTTCAAGATCTACACGTCGTGTAAAGGAAAACCCCAACTTTGCGGATACCCTGTATAGCAGTTTCTCAATAAGGATGACATTTTTTCCGGCCTTCTGCCCCCGGTTTGACTGTTTGACACCCTGTATACTGAGTGACCAAAGAAGGAAACACCTACGTATGTTTATCCGATTTTGATAATTTTTGGCATACATGGTCAGTGTCCCTTACGAGTAAAATGATTGAATATTCAGCTTGATTCGTCAACTGACTGCAGAAGATGGTTCAATAATGTTTTGTGGATCCATGATTTCTTATACACTCATTGACACGCGTGACCATGAAATTGCAAAATATGCTATACTCATAATTAACTTATCATGTCCATGATGCTTATTAAATGGTGAATGAACATACTTTTACCTTGAAGTTCAAATTAGACACTTCATAACATAGTCATTTTTACTGAGCTTCCAGGCATTGAAAATTGTCATTTTAGAGCTTTTTCATTTATCAATCGAAAAGGCCGACTAGAGGAAAGTTAGTAAGGTCCATGTTTGCTTAGAATGACAAAACAAAAAAACGTGAAAAACCTCTGACGGGGTTAAAGGAAAATTTTGTAATTTGAAAAAAATTAAATTCAAGCTGTTGATTTAATGTTAAGGGGCATCGAACAATCCTGATTATAAAAAAAACTAAAAATGCGAAATTTTGCCTTGTCTAAACTAGCATTGCGTTGGGCTATGAAGCGGTGCCAAAATGTTGTGTGTAAATTAGTATTATTTTCCAATATTCGCTGCCTTTGGATTATCTACGTACCTAGCTTTTATCGTGCAAGTATATTTAGCTTATCATTATGGATGCAACATAGAACCACTTTTCATGTGTCCAAAGAAATAAAAGTACTTTAACAGCCAGAACATGCAATGTCTACCGTCCAGTGCATTATAAGGTTCGTGATTTACCTTGAAGAGTTGCACTCCTATCACAGCGAACATGAACTGCAGTAGGTAGGTTACCAGCATGATATTGCCAATTGTCTTAATGGCCACTATCACGCATTTCACTACATACTACCCATTGGAAGAAAAGGCATGGAAGAGTAGAAAAATGGACAAGTCAGTGAGATTCTAGGTGGCTTTCAAACACAGCTTCAATTCAGATATGGCAATTAGTATATTAGTCCAGCACTCACATACAGGATGATTCACAAGTCCTGACCAAAAATGAAACATCGTACACAGGACCGCATCTTGAGGGGGGTCTTCTATTTCACAGTTTAAAATAAATTTTTTTTTCAATATCTTCAAAACCGTCAACTGGTATGAACTAAAATTTGGTATGTGGATTAACCTAAGTATCGTCTTTACTTAAAATTATCGTGCACCAGTGGCGGAGTAACAGGGGATTAGTGGCATTATTTTTCCAAATAAAAATAGTACGCCACTGTTTTTTCCATTTTTGAGGGTTTTAAACGGATCTTTGGACGAAATTACTTTATTAATCTAACTGATCTAGCATTTAGTTTTCTAGGCCGACCACTTCTCTTAGAGGCTTCCAAGATACCTTTTCGTTTATACAGGGTGGCCCATAAGTCCTTTGAGCTGGAAAAAAAGGAATAAAACCAAACTAGTTACATTATGAAGAATTATTATATTTTGTTATCATCTTTATTGAATGGGAATTATGTTTTAAAAATCACATCGTCTAAATGCAATCCATTACGACCACGGCACTCATATAAACGACGTCTGAAATTGTCGATGACTGCGCGGCAAGTCAACACTGTAATGCTTGCCATTTCTCTTCGGATATTTTCTTTCGGGACATCAACTGATCGCGGAGTGGTGTCGTACACTTTACTATTGAGGTAGCCCCATAAAAAGAAGTCCATTGGGGTCAAATCTGGACTACGTGGTGGCCAGGTGGTCTCCTCTTCGAGAAATTACTTTGCTGGGAAAAAGTTGACAGACGACGGGCATAGAAGTGTTGGAGGTGTGGGCAGTTGCTCCGTCCTGTTGAAACCAGGTCTGCGTATTATAGCCTGGAAAATTCTGCAATGCTGGTGTCAAAAACTCTTCTATCATTGCTACATACCGCTCCGAAGTAACAGTTAATGCGCGACCTCTGTCGTCCTCAAAAAAATAAGGGCCTACGATGCCATGCGCTGACATAGCAGCCCAAACTGTAACTTTAGGGCTGTGTAAGGGCTTCTGATGCTTACGCCTTGGATTTTCGGGGCTCCAATAACGGCAATTTTGTTTAAATGGAAGTGAGCCTCGTCCGAGAACAACACATTATTGAGCGAAGAAAATCGATTCAACATTTCATTCGCAAAGTTTAGTCTCTGAATAGGGTCATTATCTTTTAATTCCTGCACTAACTGAATTTTGTAAGCGTGCAGACGTAAATCTTTCCTTAAAATCCGCTGTAAAGATGTTCTGGGTACGTTTAGTGCACTGGAACGCTTACGAGTAAACTGGGTAGGACTATGACGAACAGACTGTGCCACAATGTTGATGTTCTCTTCAATACGAGTTGTCCTTGGTCGACCCCACCGCTGTTTATCTAACGTCGAACCAGTCTCTTCGAACTTAGCAACCCAGTTCTTAATCGTTTGAGCTGTTGGACACTTTGTAAAATTGTGTAAATTGTGCTATTCTCGATAAATACGCCGCGCAATGGTTGCCGAATCATTATTTTGATAGCTCCAGTGAAACACTCCATGGCGACTGAATTCCCAGACACTGAAGATACTGCCCCCACCTTGCCCGCGCCGCTCACGCTCACCCGTTAAATTTTATTCAAATTTGAAATTTCAAAGGACTTATGGACCACCCTGTATTTGTTCAATATTGCCCAAACTGCTGGACGCTTCAGGTCCAAATTTTTGGCAATGTCGACGTGACGTTGACCATCTTTGTATAACTCAATGATCTTAGTTTTCACATCGAAAGTAATTTCTGGACCACGCGGCATGGTCTTAAAATCACTCAACTTATTCCACAATACTTGATGAACACAAACTAATCCTCTTCTGTCACGAAACTGTACTAAACTAATGTTGAAAAGAATTTGTCTATATATTTTTTTCCCTCATAAAAAAGTGCTTATATTCAGACTTGTATTGTGCTAATTGCAGATAATGTACAAACAAAGAATTTAGTTTTTCTACTAATAACGCATTTGTTTATGGAGCAATGAAGTATGAATTCGTTTTCTAAAGGTATTTAGGTAAATATTCATATTTGTGTATACTTTTGTCCCCAAAGGTTTTTACTATTTTTTTTTCATTTTTACGAAAACATGCACTCTAGGAAAAAACACAAGAGTAATTAGTGAAGATAAATGCACATACCAAATTCCAGTTTATTGAAGTTGACGGTTTTGAAGATATTAAAAAAAATTGTTTTTTATTTTTAAACTTCAACACCCCGTATCTTATTAATGAAGCCCTACAGGACAAAATGTTACGTAGAAGACCGCCTTAAAATGCGGTCCTGTGTATGATGTTTCATTTTTGGTCACGACTTGTGATTCACCCTGTATAAAAATTTATGAAAACTAAGCATAAAGTGAAGAGACGGTGGAATGATAATTAGGCCAAAAAATATGGAGATTTTGTTTAACGAAATCCTAGAATTTTGGCGACGGTACATTTTTTTGATGGTATCGGTGAGTTATTGCTACCTAATGATCAGTTCCAATTGGAGTCATGAAATCTTGAAAACCGTCAAGCTTATGTAAAAAAGTAATAGAACCAATTTTGTAGGGAATTAAATTCTGCGTCTATAAACATTTTTCGTATAGGCAACAGATTACGAAAAAATAATTTAAACTAAGAATCTAAGAGTGAAAAACACTATTTTTTGTGGGGAATAAACTTTGCCACAAAAAGGTCCTTTAAGGTCCTTGATGGTTATTCGAGTTTAAGGAGGGAAAGTTAAAAATTCGTATCAAAACAGTCCACACGCTATGTACTACGTTCTCCACGTTATCTGCATACAACATTATCTTACGTGGGGATGATTTCATACTCAGTATCTATCACGTTTTTACTGCCACGTGAAAGGGAAAATGTATTTTTTTGATAATGTGTAATACCTTTATTGTGAAGATCTCTCTCATCAGTCTGTCTATTGGCGATTTTGTCATTGAATAATTTTAGTAACATTTGCAGCGATTTTAATGGAATATGAGATGTTGTGGATAATGCGGGTTTCCATTAAGAGCCTTGCAATGGTTACTGAGGCTACGCATGGGCAAAATGGCTAAAAGACAGACTGATGGAAGCGAGTGATTTGAATTTCCATGACGAAGACATCATCAGTTAACCGAAAATATCCCATTTTCCATACTTAACGCGTGTAGGTAAGAAAATAAATTCGCTTTAAAATGGTATTTTTGATCATATACACGGTGTTTCAGTTTATTATTGCACAACTTTAAGATTCGATAGAACTTTTAAAATTAATGCATAAAGTCTATATAAACATGGGTCGAAAAATGCGTGGCTTCCGAAATACAGGGTCTTTAAATTTACTTTCTAAAATAGTTTTTTTTAAATATTTCGGACAATATTTGATGTATAATAGTGAAAATTGGTACACAACGGTTTTGTGGTACGACAAAACGAACCATGGGCATAGTTTTACTGTAGCCGCTAGAGGGCGCTCTCTACTGTACCTGTAGTGTATTAAAATGACCGAAAATTTTTTCTTAGTGCAATTTTTTGCTTTTTGAATAAAAAAACTGATTCTTCGCACTTTTCAACATAAAAAAGCTCTCCTGTGAGTTTTCGTTATAGTTAGCGGTTTTTGAGATATTTCGATTTTTAAGGTTCGATGTATTTTTAATTATTTATGGGAAAATAATATTTTTTTTACATTTTCGATTTGGGCATTACAAGTAATTAAGATGATCGTTTAGATTGTGTTTTTAAACACAGCAATAATTCATAACTCCAAATAAACACAAAAAAACAGAATATTAATTTGTTTAATTTTCCAATATTATTTTTAACAAATTAAATTAATTATTTACAACTAAAATGCTATTGGATAGTTAGAACAAACATACAAAATCTAAAGTAGTTGCTCGAAATGTAAACCCAATTGTTCAATACACAATTCACATCTACGAATGATCGAACGTGGTATGCATTATTCAAATAAGGCCTTATTTCATCACATGGATTCCTGATTCTGTCTATTAGCATATCTCTTGTGGTTACGGGAGTCTGGTACACTTTTTCTTTTAGAAATTCCCACACAAAGAAATCTAATGGATTTAGATCAGGGGATCGTGGAGGCCAGGCGACTGGTCCTCCACGGCCGATCCATCTTTCTGGATAATTTTCGTCCAGCCAGTTTCTAACTATTCTCGAATAATGAGCTGGACAACCATCAAGCTGAAACCAGGCCGATCTTCTTAAATCTAACATAACATCATCCCACATATTTGCATGTTCAGCCTTTAAAAATTCCAAGAAGGTCGCAGCATTTAACCTTGCAGGCAAAATATAGGGTCCTAATAGTCGATTACGGTAGATACCAATCCACACGTTCACACTAAATTCATGCTGAAAATTTCTTTCCCGAACTGCATGCGGATTTTTATGCGACCAAATATGTTGATTATGAAAATTTACCACTCCACGTCTAGTGAAGCATGACTCATCGGTCCATAAAACGTTACTTAAAAACTCCCTATTATTATCAGTTCTATCAAGAATCCACTGACAAAATGTGATTCTTCGTTCTCCGTCCCCTGGCTGTAGTCCTTGCACAGGTTGCAAATGGTAAGAACGTCTATGGTCATTTCTAAGAACACGGTGAACATGGCTTGCTGAAATTCCCAAGGCACCAGAAACTCTCCTAACACTTGTGGTCGGATCTCTATCAAACTCACGCAGAATCATACGGGTAAATCTGCGCTGACGAACATTTATGCTTTGATCCCTTTGGAGATTTCCAAAACCAGTTTCAATTATTTGGCAAATACTGAGCGAGTTGGATGTCATCTGTTTGGAAATCTTCGTGCGTATTCTCTGGCTGCTTCTGCTGCGTTTCCG